GCCAGTAGGTGGCGCTATCAGTATATCTGAATATTATCATGTAGACGTGTTCAGGGCGGGACTCTTGTGAAGTTTGTGAAGTTTCATTGAGATTGGACATTGCACACTGAAGTTATGAGTACTACCTGTTTTATGGTGAATGGTCGAAATTCGATGCAACGCCACGGGCACGCTGTTCGGCGTACAGTCACAGATAGCACAACTTTTCATCTGCAGTTTGTTTTGATTGTACTGACCAATTTTGAAGTTGATCCAATAAATTCCCTAGGAGGAGTTCGTTCAAATACAACGCGAAAAATCACTGAAAATGACCACGAAATTCAAAATGGCCGACTTCCTGTTGGGTTTGGGTTATGGGTCCAAGAGGCTTTTGCTTGTCCGATCACGATACACATGCATACCAATTTTCGTACCTGTCGGTCGTACTTGTCTTGGGGGCTGATTCTGGGGGGCGTGGCTAAGCCATTTTGCAATGCCTATCTATGGGACCAAGACTATACCTTAGCCTTTGCCATGACTGAATTTTGTGCAAAGTTTCCAGAGTTTTACGATGGCTAATAATAACAAGATACTAGCGTTGGCGTAGTATGTTTACCATCGTCACTTACGGTTTTCTCGTGCACTCACTGATTCGCTAGTCAAGGGCTAGCACTCCACCAATCAGATTGGTCATTGAGGCCGACGGCGTTCATTTTGGCCATTTCAACATGTAGAATCGGCCAAAATGAACACCGACGCAGACTGATGACGGCACCGGACACACCGAACCGACTCGAGTCACCGACCTCACCCGACTGTCCGATGACGTCTGACAACAAGTTCAGCTGGATCTGGTCAATCTGCTGGAAGATATACATAAAAGTATAAAAAGGACATTTCCTTTCACCACTAGGTGGCGCTCTGACTATTACTGAATATTATCACATAGACGTGTTCAGGGCGGGACTCTTATCAAACATGGGAAGTGTCATTGAGATTGGACCATGTACGCAGAAATTATGACAAATCCCTCTTTCATGGCGAGTCGTTGAAATTCCACGCCACGGGCACGCTGTTTGACGGAATGACGTAAATAGCACAACATTTAATCATGAATGTCTTTTGATGGCTGTGTCCAAATCTGAAGTTGATCCCATAAATTCCCTAGGAGGAGTTTGTTCAAATACCACGTGTGCAAATCGCCAGAAATGACCATGAAATCCAAAATGGCCGACTTCCTGTTGGGTTTGGGATATGGCATCCACTGGTTTCTTTGTTCGTCTGGATAAGATCTACGCGTGTGCCGATTGTTATGTTTATCGGTGAATGGGGCCCTGGATGGTACAGTTTATGGCCCCCTGAGCGGCCATTTTGCCATGCTCATAGTGGACCACTAGAAAATACGAATTAGTTTTTCGCCACGACTGACATGTGCGCCACGTTTCATGAGTTCTAGAGCACGGGAAAGCCTCCAAATATGCGTTCGTTTAGGAGGAAAAATAAAAAGAATTCTTTCAATTACAATAGGGCCTTCGCACGGTCAGTGCTCGGGCCCTAATAAATCAGTTATAAGTTGTAACTAATTACTTTATTAATGATTAATAAATTGTCTAATAATGATTTAATTAAAAAAAAAAAAGATTTGATAGGGACAATGCAATTTCCAGTTCCAATACAAAGCATGAAACTGATGATGCACAGAGTTTATATGCTCAACTCTTGTCTCTAGTATTACAGTGTAATTAAAGAATACAACATTATCATAAAATACACTAGTAGACATACAGATATGGACCACAAAACACTACAGATATGGAACTACAACAGAATACACACACAACAATACATCACAACACACACAGTAACGCACCATGGTCATTCAGAGTAGTACTATTAGGCTAAAGTGGGTACAGCTTGGGTTTGCACCTAACCTTTGTTAACAGATTTCATATTTGTAGTTCATTTGATTTCAGTTGGTAATGTGTTCCAGAGTTGACAGCCCAGTGGAGAAAGCTGATTATTCAAATTTAGATCTATAATGTGGTATATACAGTTAAATCTCTCTGGCTGGTGAGTGAGTCAATAAAAAATGAATACATTAATAAATGGGTATGACTATTTATTTCTAATAACCACCAAGTCAAGTTGAAAAGTTTAGTAGGTCATTCCTAAACCATTAAGTCAGCAGTTACATTTGCATGTTATCTGTTGTTTTTCACTGTTAAACAAAGAAAACTCCAAACAACACAACCCCCCAATGTAAATACAGTCTTCAACAAAGAGAGGGGCAGATCTAGATAAATATTCATGGGGTGACCAGAGGGTGTCATGGAGAGGGATGGCAAAAATGTATTCTGATTTAATCACAAACAGTCCCATATATCAATATTTGCTTGGAAAAGGCCCCAAATGAAGATATTTGAACTCAAAAAACCTTATTGTGGCACATTAGTAAAACACTGAATAGAAATATCTAAAGGCAGCAATAGAAATCAATACATTATTATTTCCTAATCTTCATCAATCAGTCTAAAATGTGAATTTCTGTGAAAAAATCTGACACTTTGGCACCCTGGGAATGAAACTCAACAATCAACAATCTTCAAGCCTCCAACCCAAAATCATCTTTAGATATTTCTCTGCTCTGATTGGTTGTTTTCATTCAAGCCAACAATTACCTACTACAGCTTTAGCATATGTTCTACTGCATATTGCTGGGGACAGGTTTGTACTTCTAAGGATTTTGATGAGGACATTATTATTTTAAAAAACATACAGACACACAATATTGTTTCAAGCAGACTATTTGTATAAATGTCTTAATATGTGTCGGGGGGGGGACCTTTAAGGGAGGCACTAGAACAGTGGTTTCTTGTAGCGCCTTGCAACAACATTTTAATGTAATAAAACAGTCACTGGTATCTTGGTGTGCACTGGATTATATGTGTTTTAATTTGTTTGAATATGTTGTTTAGTAAACTATCTCTCATTATAACTGTTGATCAAGGGGTTTTCCCATCAGTTCATAAAAGAAGTCATAATGGATTTCAGAGCTAAAAAGACAAAACAAATGTCCTTCTGCTGGAGGATTTTCCCCAAACTGGCAACCCAAAAGATGTTCTTATTAATGCCATATAAATAAATGATTTATTAATGCTTAATAAGTCATCCATTCAGATAAACAGAGCAGACTTTTTTAGAATCAAAAATTATATAAAAATTTGGAGACAAGTAGTTAATTTAGAAAAACAGAATAGAATATTTTATAATATAAAAAAATAATAATAAGTAATATGTCAGTAATTCCAAAAAACACAGCTGATTTATTTTTTTATTATTAAAAGTGATATCAGGATGATGAGATAAGTCATTCATTTTATAGATTCTATTCTGTATCCCTTAATTGTATATTTAATTACATCATCACAATGATTACTTTGCTTTTAAAAGGTGCTATATTAATAAAGTTGTTGTTGTTGTTGTTGTTATTATTATTATTATTATTATTATTATTATTGATCATAATAATTCATAATTTAAAATCTTGAACCAGAAAACGTACAAGTTTAATTGGAAAACAAAAGCAAACGAATAAATTAAAATCTGCATAATCTGCATTTGATATCATTTTATTGTTATTGTGTTTCATGATTGAATGTTTTGCTATCCATTCTTCTTTAATTTCCCTTGTAAAGCACTGTTAAAAATGCCTCACAAATTAAGATCAGTGTGTGTGTGTGTGTGTGTGTGTGACTCTGCTGTGGACGGTTAGGAAAGTTGCTGTTCCAGGAAGCAGGGAGCTGCAGTAAAAGGACTGATTGAGAAGTGGATTGGTTGTCAGGAGGCCCTGGCCGGGCTCAGGCTGAACAAAGGTGCCATTGATGGTGGCAGCTCACACTGAGCTCCCTGCTGCAGGACACAGGAGACTGTTGAGATGCTTGAAGATAAAGCTCAGGCAGAATACACACACTTCTCGTCCGTTAACGCTCAGAGATCAACTGAAGCTGCTTTATTTTACAGGCTACTCAAGGTTTTATGTATTTTAATGTAAATGTGCTTGGATTTCACACATTTGAAAAAAATATTTTCTATGGTTATTTAGGCTCTGCCGCTTTTTGAGCCCACGACTTACGATGGCAAACACCATTCATTGTTAATCTTCATGACTGCATCAACGTGTTGACTTTGTAGAAAAAACTCATTCAGTTTCACCTTTGTGCCTGGAGCCAATCACATAAAGACCGATCATCATCCGGCAAATGATCGCGCTCAATTTCATGCTGACTTGTCCTTGGATCCGAGCCAAACATCCCATCTCACCGATACCACAGATCGACCCGTGTACGCACAACATGAATAAAACTGACAATTAATTATCCACCACAGTGCCCAACTGCATTACATTATTGATACAATGGAATGAAAGCTAGTTATGGACATGCAAATATAATGATGTGAAACTATGTCTCACTCAACCCGGACACGAGCCGTTCTCGCAGGTGTGAACAGGACTGAATGCCAAATCCCTTTAACATTTCATGTAATTTAAAAGTGCACTGCCTATTGGTCAACGCACATTCATGATTGATTATATGTAATATAGGTAATAACACACTACAGTATTCTGATACGTTCGGCATGTAGAAATCATACTAAAGCAACATTTCAGACACGTTTAAATCTTTATTCATAATTGGTTCCTATTCTTCCTCTCCCTCCAGCACTGATACATTTCTAAGGAAGAATAACAGGATCAACAACTGTTAAAGGTGATATTAAATAGACTAGACGCAGTTGGGTAAATTGTGACGTATGCCGATTTTAAGGCTTCAGTGTATCACAACGTAATATGCTTACAGTGATGAGCTTACACCATGGAATGTTTGAGAATGCACACGCAAACCTTAAATCACCAATTTTCCCACGGGAGTTTGGTTTGCTGACAAAAACGTTTTGGCAGTTTGAGTCACGTGGCATTCCTACGGCGTGAACGAGGGGGGCGGGGCCGCGGGGGAACAGGTGTTTAAATACGGAACAGGTGAGAGTGGAGGTACAGCAGATCCTGGAGCTGCAGTCCACTCACGCTCTTACCTGACCGACCAGTCCTAAACAGGTAAGACACCGACAGAGCTGCATTTGAACTGTAGGGGAATGACTTTCACTTCAGTACGCAAATGCTGCACGACCACAGTGGAGTCATTTAGTGCCTGGGCTGGAAAAACTACTCAGTCAATCGGCTTAGAGTTCAGTATAGTAATATAAGGGTTTAAAAGATGTAAAAAATGCAACATGTCTTCATTCAGCAGCTGCTGATGCTGCACTGTGAAGAAGTCTGGACTCAGTAGTGTAGTGCAGGGTGTACACAGGTATACAGAGAATAGCCTTATTTTTCAGTCGGCATTGTTCAGCAGGCTTCTGTCAGCTTAACTTTTTCTCCTAGGATGGTAAAGGCATGACATATTTGTCAAAGTTTGAGTGGAGTGGATTGAGTGATGAATGACGAGTACTTCACTCAAAATGTTTATGTAGTTGTGTCACGCTGTAGGTCAGTATTAGTATTAGCATTTCTGTGGTTGATGTTTACTTTATAATGATTTACTGCCTGAAGTCGAGCAGCAGAAGTTAACAGACAATGTGAAAATACTACTGGACCATTGTAGGTGAACTTTATATGTAAGAGTAGTCTTACATGTCACATTTTATAACACAGCATCCTTTGCTGGACAGGCATCTTAAAAATAAATTGGGGCATAAATTTAGAGAGTGTACCCATTTGCCAGGCACAGCTACACCACTGTCGGTACTTCAGTTTAGTCCCCTCTTTTAGGCTGATTGGAGTCTTTACTGCAGATGATTTCTGTTCTGTTACAGATTTATGTAACCTTTATGATTTTTGAAACATAAAACACACACACACACACACACACAAAAGTATGTGATTCTAATTCTATACTATAATGTTGTAAAAACTTAAATGACCTGTAGGCATAAATGCAAATCCTGGCGGAAATCAATGTGGTTAAGGACCATATAAGCATATCGTCACCTGTGTTGCATGGCATACTATTCTCTCTTTTCACTTTTGTTCTATTCTTTGAACACACAGTTTGTAGTTTTGTGATTTGTTATCCCTGCCTTTGTCCACAGTAAGCCTGTAAAGATGATCAAAGCGGCATTATCGGTACTCTTGGTCCTGGTGGCCGTGTCCTCCTCCTTCGGGAAATATACCCCCAAGACCGGCAAAAGGGTCCCTCAGACTCTGTCCAGAGGTCTGTGAGCATCATCTGCACGTCTAAGGCTGATGAGACTTTTGTATAGTGCAAATGAACGAGCCTGTCATTGATCTTTAATGGTGTCCATGTCTGTCCAGGTTGGGGTGATCAGCTGATCTGGGCTCAGACGTACGAAGAGGCTCTCTACTGGTCCAGGTCAAGGTAGGAAATAGTTTTGACTCACACTGACGTCAAAATGTTGGTTTAACTCTGATGCCATTCACTGAAGGTGATTTGTGTTTTAGAAACAAGCCTCTGATGGTCATCTTTCACCTTGAGGACTGCCCACACAGCCAGGGTGAGTCTGAATGTTTGACTTATTAACTTTACTCATGCAGAGAGAAAAAAAGTGTTGTGTTGAATTAGGAGCCAAACCTGTTTGAAGAGCCAGCAATCATTTGTTTGCTCATGTGTGACGTCACACATCCTGGACTGAGTTGCAATTATTTTCCCCACAGCACTGAAGAAGGTTTTTTCTGAAGACAACAAGATTCAGAAAACTCTTGACGAGGATTTCATTGTCCTCAATCTGGTGGTAAGTTACATGAACTTTCAGACAAAAAACTTTAAAGATGCTCAGTCTTAAACTAATAGATAATCAATTATTTTCTTATTTTCTGATATATTCGAATATGCAGATTATGCATTATGTATTTAAAAATGCACATATACACTTACACTTGCATACACTTCCTGAACAAAAATCTGATAAGCCAGGTTCAAAATTCTTGTTTCATTTTGTTGACATATCAGAGTCAGAGTTTTTTACAGAGGGAATCTCTTTTAATGAGAAAACACTGTCAACAGCCATACTTTTTTTTTTTTTTTGCCATATTTTAGGAATAAAATCTGATCATTACTGCTACTGAAGTGAAGATTCCTGGCCGTTTGAGAAAAACACATTTTGAGAAAATAGCCTTTAAAGATATTGTAAAAGGTCACTATAGGTGAATAGGTTTAAAATTTTAACTCATAGATATTCCCCAGTTGATTACTCCCATTAATTTTGTTTTGTTTTCTTAAAATGGATGCAAATGAGACATTATCTAAAGCAAACTTTAGGAGAAATCTACAGATGCAAACAGACAAAGTGCAGTAAAATAAACACCTAAATGTGTATTTTGGGCGTTTTCTTTCCATTGGTCTGAAAGAAGACAACTTTTTTCAAAATTGCATGAAAAAAACGTGTTTGCCTGTCATAAGCTAATGTAGAGAATGAGCTTTCAGGACCTTTAAAAACACCAATGCTCTACGATGTTAAGGTCAGACTTTGATATGTTCAATGGTTGAGTGTTATTTTATTTCTCATCGACAGTATGAAACCACAGACAAACATCTCTCTCCTGATGGGCAGTACGTTCCCAGGATCATATTTGTCGGTAAGGGCTACAGCTTTTCCTGTAAACCTGTAAACACCCCTTTCATGGATTAGGTTATGTACCTTTAATGTAACATTTGTTTTCTGTTGTAACAACCAGGCCTACTATATCACTGGTTTTAGACATTGTTGTCAAATGTGAACGTTTTCACATCTTACATGTTGATGTGTGAGTAGATGAAGCTTGTTAAGACACTCATCTTTCATACCAATGAATATCAGTGTAGTTACTGTCAACACTACTACTACTACTACTACTACTATTTCATTATGTTATCTTAAAGTTCCAGTAGCTCATTTTTATAAAAATAACTTTTCGTCATATTTGCTATATCCTGACATAAGACGGATAAACTGTGAAAAAAACACACACCATGTGCCCTATAAGGAAGTCAGCTTGCAGAGATACTAACAGTTCAAGTACCGTGAAAGTACAGTAGCAGTAGCTGCCTGTTCCACCGGAATTACCTTAATGAAATGTTTGGAGATTTTCCTCATCCACTACCAATGTCTCCACAGACCCCTCAATGACGGTGAGGGCCGACATCAATGGTCGCTACTCCAACCGCATGTATGCCTATGAACCCAGTGACATAAACCTCTGTAAGTATTGCAACACACAACACAGATCTCTCCTCTGTCAGCTTGTATCTCTAAAACACAGACTGATTAAATGTTTCCTGCCTCTCTCTCCCTCAGTGTTGAACAACATGGCCAAGGCCAAGAAGCTCCTGAAGTCGGAGCTGTGAGGGTGAGACATTCGGTCCACTCCAGAGTTTATTGTTGCCACAGATGCCAGCAACATGCTGTCACTATAGTTTACACCTGGAAAACTAAGCACTGGAAAGTTTCTTCTCTTCACCTACATTTGAAATGTTTCCTTGTTGAATTTCCTTTCTACCTTTGTTATTATTGCTGTACACCCAGAATGTCTTTTGAATAAATATGGAACTGTTCATACAAGATGGATAGTCTGCCTATTTGCCAACAGATTGTGGGGGAAGTATAAAACTATATACTATATGTATAAAAACATGAATACTACACAAGAACAATATTATTAGGGATCGAGCACTGACAAGTGCAAGACCCTATTGTTCCTGTTAGAATTATTATTATTATTTTGTGCCTCTTTGACCGCATATTTGACCCCCGCAACATTCTCAAGTCATGAAAATTTGCACAAAATTCAAACGTAGCGAAAATACCGATATGACATTGTCCCCGTGCACGGGTGCCGCCAAACGGCTAAGCCACACCCCCCAGAATCAGCCCCCAAGACACGTAAGGCCCTTTTATCATGATAAAAGAAGCAGAAAAGTCTCGAGGACCCATACCTCAAACCCAACAGGAAGTCCGCCATTTTGGATTTTGTGGCCATTTTTGGCGATTTACACACGTTGTATTTGAACTAACTCCTCCTAGGGCATTTATCGGACCGACTTCAGATTTGGACACAGCCATCTAAACACATTCACCATTAAAGGTTGTGCTCCCCAGTTGTTTTCGTTGAACATCGTGGATGTGGCGTGGCGTCCCGTGGCGTGCAATTTCGATCCTTCGCCATGAAAGAGGGATTAATCATAACTTCTGCGTACATGATCCAACTGTAGCGAAACTTCACGATAAGAGTCCCGCCCTGAACACGTCTATGTGATAATATTCAGTAATAGTCAGAGCGCCACCTAGTGGCAACAGGAAGTATCACGTTTTATATTTTCATGTTCTACTCCTAGCAGGATGATCAGATCCAGCTGAAATTTACTTATAAAATGCAAAACACATTGTTGATGATATGTGATGACTGCGGTGAGGGGGCGTGTCTTTGGCGTGGCGGGAAATTTTGATGTAACGCCACAAAACACGAATTTGCTATAACTTGAGTGTACATTGTCCAATCGGCTCCAAACTTCACTTGTCTGATAAGAGTCCCGCCCTGAACATGGCCATGTGATAATATTCAGTAATAGTGAGAGCGCTACCTAGTGGTGAAAGGAAATTTATTTTTTGTACTTTATTTATATCTTCAAGCATATTGACCAGATCCAGCTGAAATTATGTGAGAAGTTCCTTAGGAGGATGAGGATCACATATTATGAATCTTAAGAATTTGCATGGAACCATGTTGCCATGGCGACGCGGCAAAAAAAAAAAAAAAATCACACTTTTGGGGGGACTAAACATGCCTGAAAACTCATGAAACTTTGCACAGCATTCGGTGGTCCCGTGGATGGGCGTCGCAAAATGGCTTAGCCACGCCCCCCAGAGTCAGCCCCCAAGACACGTATGACTGACATGTATGAAAATTGCTACGCATGTGTATCATGATAAAAGAAGCAAAAAAGTCTCTTGGACCCATACCTCAAACCCAACAGGAAGTCGGCCATTTTGGATTTTGTGGCCATTTGCACACGTTGTATTTGAACAAACTCCTCCTAGGGCATTTATTGGACCGACTTCAGATTTGGACACAGCCATCTAAACACATTCACCATTAAAAGTTGTGCTCTTCAGTTTTTTTTGTCAAACCTCCTGCCCGTGGCGTGGTGTCCCGTGGCATCCAATTTCAATCCTTCGCCATAAAAAGAGGGATTAATCATTACTTCTGCATACATGATCCGACTGCAACGAAACTTCACATGTCTGATAAGAGTCCCGCCCTGAACAAGTCTATGTGATAATAATCAGTAATACTCAGAGCGCCACCTAGTGGCAACAGGAAGTATCACGTTTTATATTTTAAAGTGTGTTTAGGCTAATAACTTTTGTATAGTTTGTCACACATTCAAAAAACTTATATCCACGCGTTCGGTGAATGAAACTGAATCTCCCCATATAGGCCACGCCCATTACCCCCCAGAGGTTTTTTTTTCGGCTAGAGCACAAAATGTCCATAAACTACTTTTTCGTGTTCCTCCTATGTGCTTTGTCCGATTCGCACAAATTTTTTCACGTAGCATCTGGGGACCGTCCTAATAAAAAAGTAATTCAAAGAATTTTGATATTTCAAAAAATAAGCACGTTATAAAATTAGCACTTCCTGTACATTTTTCATCAACAAAGGAAGCGGACCATTTCTCCACATTGGTATCTCCGATTAACACCAAACTTGGGTCCATAGTTCCCCATGTCTTCCTTAGGCATCGTGCACAATTTCAGGCCATCGCCTCTAGGTGGCGCTCTTCAAAATGAATCAAAGTCAGCCATTTTGATTTTTTGGGTCATTTTCTGTGATTTTTCGCATTGTATTTGAACGAACTCCTCCTAGGGAATTTATTGGATCTGCTTCAAAATTGGTCAGTACAGTCAAAAAATAGTGCTGATTAAAAGTTGTGCTAGTTGTGCATGTACATTAAAGGGCGTGTCCGTGGCGTGCCCTCAAAGTTGGCCAGGTTGAATCAAATGTCAAACTGTGATGCCATTTCCGGCATTTTGCAATGATTTTCAGCATTTTTTTGCGTTGTATTTGAACGAACTCCTCCTAGAGAATTTATCAGATCTGCTTCAAAATTAGTCAGTACAGTCAAAAAATGGTGCTCATTAAAAGTTGTGCTATTTGTGACTGTACGTTAAAAGGCGTGTCCGTGGCGTTCCCTCAAAGTTGGCCAGGTTGAATCGAATGTCAAACTGTGATGCTATTTCCGGCATTTAAGGGCTTCTGTTTAAACTAACTCCTCCTACAGATTTTATCAGATTGACTTCAAATTCGATCACTTCAATCTACACACATTGGTTATCAGACGTTGTGCTATTTGTGACTGTATGTTTAACCGTGTGCCCGTGGCGACGTGTCGAATTCCACCGATTGGCCATCAAACAGATAGTACTCATATCTTCAGTGTACAGTCCCACCCTGAACACGTCCTCATAACTTCAGCGTACATGGTCCAATCTCAATGACACTTCACATGTTTGATAGCAGTCCCACCCTGAACACGTCTACATGACAATATTCAGACATAGTGATTTTGGTTTGAAGTACAGTCACAAATAGCCTAACTTTTCATCTACACTTTGTATGACCACAGAATTCAAAATGGCCAACTTTGAAAGCACGCCACGGACACGCCCTTTAACGTACATGCACAAATAGCACAACTTTTAATCAGCAACATTTCCTATCTGTACTGACCAATTTTGAAGTATATCCAATAAATTCCCTAGGAGGAGTTCGTTCAAATACAATGCAAAAAATCTCAGAAAAAGGCTGCGAAATTCAACGTGGCCAAATTTGACAGCACGCCATGGACACACCCTTCAACGTACATGCACAAATAGCACAACTTTTAATCAGCACCATACCAGAGAATGTCTAATAAGGAGAGAAGTTCCACTCTCGGTATACTTCCGGGTTCTGAACTGTTGCAGTTCCCCTCTGGTTCCATATGAGGGCGCTCACAGGATGAGTGCAGAATGAATGGAGCTCTATGGAGCTATACCCTCAAAATCCACTTTTCTCAGGATATCATTTTTTGTCTAGTAATTTGAATGTTGCATTCGAAAGGGGATGCAAAGAAATGACACATTGCTGGGTGTTAGATTTTTTAGAGTCACTTATTTTCTTTAAAAAGTCTTTTAAAATGTCAATTATGGCACACACATCATATGGCCAGAGATACCGCTTTACGGCAAGCCTTGAGTCACTTTGTGCTTCCGCGCTCTGCACTTCCTTTTCTCTCGAGGCATCGACAACACAGACATAACGATAGGCAGATAAAAGTACCAGCAACCCAAAAAAAAAGTTCCTGTGTTAAAAAAAAAGGACTTGGGCGAAAAAATCCGCCTTAAAATTCTGGTCCCGCTTCGGATGCCACGATGCCATCAAGAGATCTCTGGTCGTAATCAGTCCTTCACTGGCCAATCAGCGTTCATTAGCAGAATGCTAGCGTGTTATGGGCAACAACAACTCGTCCTGTAAGAAATCGAAAGGACATAAGTACTCGTTCATTCAACTTTCGACCTATAACCCATGTTGAACTTGCAAAAACTACAATCAAATCTGAGATTTCTCAACGACAATCAGGTGAAAGAGACAAATTTAGCCGTCTAGCTCCATCTGCTCCCATTCATTCTGCACTCATGGGCGATCGCCCCCAGTGGAACTCTGCTGGAACTGCAACCAAAATTCGGTAGAATGGGACTTAATAGAGAGTGGCCAGGCTCTCCGTAGATGGGCTCTGACCATACTTTGACTGTACAGACCAATTTTGAAGCAGATCCGATGAATTCCCTAGGAGGAGTTCGTTCAAATACAACGCGAAAAGTTAGCCGAAAGTGAAAATCAAAATCAAAATGGCTGACTTCCCGTGGGGTTTGGGGTATGGGTCCAGGAGGCTTTTTTGTAGGTCTCGGCACGTTGCACGTGCCTACTGAGTTTCGTACATATCGGTGAAACATGGCTGCTGTTTTTTTATCCTGTAGGGGGCGCTACCAACATGACAAACTTTTTTGGTGTGTGAGCTACAGGCACCACTCTACATGTGCCCTGTGAATTTCATTCTCATAACTATTACGGTCTCCGCTCAGTGATTTACCATGCCACCAGAGCGCCACCTAGTGGCAGATTGTTGACACATTTTTTAGCAAGCCTCAGGGAGTCATGGGCAAGCATCGAACCAATTTTCATTTTAATCACACGTGCCGTTGCAGAGATATAAACTTCTTCATTTTAAAGAGCGCCACCTGGAGGTGATGGCCTGAAATTGTGCAAGATGCCTAAGGAAGACATGGGGAACTATGGACCCAAGCTTGGTGTAAATCGGACATACCAATGTGGAGAAATGGTCCACTTCCTTTTTTGACGAAAAATCTAGAGGAAGTGCTAATTTTATAACGTGCTTATTTTTTGAAATATCAAAATTCTTTGAACTAATTTTATTAGGATGGTCCCCAGATGCTACGTGCGAATCGGACAAAGCGCATAGGAGGAACACGAAAAAGTAGTTTATGGAAATGTTGCGCTCTAGCAAAGAAAAAATCTAGGCGAAGGTGGGCGAGATTCAGCTCCATTCACTGAACGCGTGGATATAAGGTTTTTGTATGTGCGACAAACTATGCAGAAGTTATTAGCCTAAATGCACTATTTATGATAATAGCGCCACCTAGTGGACAACCAGAAAGCGACACATAGAATATCCCCATTTTCACCAGGCCTGACAACTTTGCCAAATAAAATTGCGTTTTCGTATATGTTCAGGGGGGCAAAAATGCAGTCAAAGGGGGCTAAAAATAATAATAGGTAGGAAGAAGAAACATAGCAAAAACAATAGGGACCTCCAGCGGTCGCTGGCTCTGTCCCTAATTACAGTATATGTATAAAAGTAAGCGTTAGAGAGTGCAGGGATCTGTTTCCTCAGGAAGAGCATATTAGACTCCTACATGTATGAGGTGGCCAGTCCTTTATAGGGAGAGTTGAATGAACAAACTTTTTAAACATAAAAAACTGTGAGCATTCTAGAGCAGCTGGAAAGGAAGAAAATGTGAGAGACTTCTATAGAAGAAGCAGTATAAGGCTGCCAGACTGCATTCTACAACTGGTTTGTCAAGGTTGTGGCAAATAATGGCAGAGCAGTGAGATGGAACCAAAGCAATAAAGCTGTGAGCTGGAAAATGAAAACGATAAGCCGAAAGAGGCTGTAAAGCTGTGTGGGGCATTTAACTTAATATATAATCCATGCTTAATTTAAGAATATTGATGATCATCACCTTAATAAAACATACTGATGAGAGCAGCTTTAAAGATACAAACATCTTTCATTTTTCTTTGGCCCAGGACTTCCTTGTGGTGCAGTGTGCTTACCACTTAAGCAGGGGAACATGTGCAAGTGAAAAGCAAATGTCAGAAACCTGACCGGGCACAAACTTTTCCTGAACACAGTTTGCTCAAACGCAGTGCATTCTGCAAATAGCAATAACAATACGTTTCTTGTTTATCTGTTATGTGATCTGTTCAGTAAATGCTTGGCAGGAAGGACTTGTCAAAGGTTATTATTTTAAGATAATGGTCAGGTTTATATGGATCAACATATCTTTAGCAGCTGTGTTAAAGCTGTGGTACGTCAATTTTATAAATATAATTTATTGTCATTATTGCTGACATTTTCATGAGACAGATAATCTGTGAAAAAATCAGGTTCCTCAGTGCTCCGAATGGCGTTTGAAAGAATCCACCAGGCCTTGATGAAAACAACCAATCAGAGCCAAGACAATTGGTTGGAAGCTTGAAGATAGTTGATTGTTGAGTCTCATTCCCAGGGTCCCAAAGCATCTGTGTTTGACACCCTGAAAATTTGACTGAACAATCAACTATCTTTCTTGCCTCTGATTGGTTGTTTTTATTCAGGCCTGGTGGATTCTTGCAAATGCCATTAGGAGCACTAAGAGGAACCAGAGGAACTTGATTGTTTCACAGATTATCTGTCTCATGTATTACTGTCAGGATATAGTGAAAGTTTCAACAAATAAAATAAATTACAAACATGTCTTACGGACATAAAATCCTGGATGAGCTGCAATTTTCTGATGTTAAACTCAGAAAAAAACAGTAGAAATTCTTGTACTTGGCCCCAAAAACCTTAGAGACTCACTGTCTAAAGATGTAGTCACTCTAGATGGCATTAACTTGGCCTCTAGCACCACTGTCAGGAATCTTGGAGTTATCTTTGATCAGGATTTGTCATTTAACTCCCACATGAAGCAGACCTCTAGGACTGCCTTCTTTCATTTACGTAATATTACAAAAATTAGACACATCCTATCACAGACAGATCCAGAAAAACTAATCCATGCATTTGTTACTTCAAGGCTGGATTACTGCAACTCTTTATTATCAGGTTGCCCCAATAAGTCCATTAAAACGCTCCAATTAATTCAGAACGCTGCAGCACGAGTACTGACAGGAACTAGAAAAAGAGATCACATCTCTCCTGTACTAGCTTCTCTGCACTGGCTCCCTATAAAATGTAGAATGAATTTAAAATCCTCCTCCTCACCTATAAAGCTCTTCATGGTCAGGCCCCTTCATATTTTAAACAGCTCATAGTACCCTATTACCCCTCTAGAACACTACGTTCTCTGAATGCGGGGCTACTTGTGGTTCCTATAGTCTCTAAAAGTAAAACAGGAGCCAGAGCCTTCAGCTACCAAGCTCCTCTCCTGTGGAACCAGCTTCCAGTTGTGGTTCGGGAGGCAGACACCCTCACCACATTCAAGAGTAGGCTTAAGACATTCCTCTTTGATAAAGCTTATAGTTAGGACTGGATCAGGTGAGTCCTGAACCATCCCTTAGTTATGCTGCTATAGGCCTAGACTATCGGGGGATTTCCCATGGTGCACTGAGCTCCTCCCTTCCTCTCTCTTTATGCATTCATTCATGTCCCATTAATACATGTTACTAACTTCAATTCTTCCCCGGAGTTCTTGTGCTTTCTCGTCTCGCAGGTTCTCATGGATCCTGGTGGAGCCTCCTGCCATGGTCCTGCTAGATTGCCATTGCCAATACTGTTGTTGCTGTGCACCTGTCTGTCTGTCTGTCTGTCTGTCTGTCTGTCTGTCTCTCGCTCTCTCTCTCTCTGCCTCTCTCTCTCTCTCTCTCTCTCTCTCTCTCACCCCAACTGGTCGAGACAGACGACCACCCACCTAGAGCCGGAGGATCTGTCCTAGGTTTCTGCCATTTAACAGGCTGTTTTTCCTTGCCCTTGTCGCCAAGTGCTTGCTCATGGTGGTACTGTTGGATCTCTGTAATTAATGTTATAAAGAGTTCGGTCTAGACCTGCTCTATTTGAAAAGTGTCCTGAGATAACTTCTGTTATGAATTGGCGCTATACAAATAAAATTGAATTGAATTGAATTGAAATATTACAAAAACTTATTTTTATAAAAATGATCTACTGTAGCTTTAAGATAATGGTCAAGTTTATATGCACCAGCATATCTTTAGAAGTGAAAATTAGTTTGTGAGAAATTCTTTTATGAATTTGTGTGTGTGTGTGTGTGTGTGTGTGTGTATGCGTGTGTAATTAACATCCTGGATGGGTGGGTCCACACTGCCAGAACTGAAAGCCTTTTCCTGTTGCCGGGTTACCAAGGCTCAACTGAGACTATTGTGCTGTGTAATGAGCCCCACAAAGCAGTGAGAGCATGGCACAAGTTGGTTGTTGAAGACTTCAACCTACAACCTGCTGCAGAAACTTGAGTATGGGTCACCTAAATGTTGCCTATGATTAAAACCCAGATTATAACTTGAAAAATAACAAATACATGTATGAGCCTTCCACTAATTCTGAACTTGAGGACATTCCCAAACCATATAGGTGTTATTAAAAAGAAAATTGTACTCTTTTGCACAAATCTTTCTTTTTTTCTTCTGACAAGATGTTGATTTTAAATGAATATCAGACAGATTGACTTGTATAAGAAACAAGATGAAATTTAATCATCACTGTGCTGACATTGTTTTACTTGTTTTAGGAAAACAATACCTTCATTTTAAGTTTGTTTTGCAGTACTGAGTAACATTTTGTACTATACAGTTAGTTGATTAATTAGTTAGATGTCAACTATTATTATTTTGATAATCAATTTATAATTTCTGAGTGAATATTTTCTGGTTTATTTAATCCAGTAAACTTAATATCTTTACGTTACGTCACCTTGGGCTTTGGGGAACAGTGATCATTTTTCACAATTTTTTTTATTTTATGGAACTGATTGATTAATTGAGAAAATGATTGACAGATAATGCAAATAATTGCTGGTTGCAGCCCTATTTTTACACTCATGAAAACATAATATTTTTATGGAGAAGAAACAAAAAAACAAAAGCCCATTTATTTTTCTTCCATTAGTGTTTTAATTGTGTTTTACAGTACAAAGGCTCAGATGGGTGCTGTTGCAGTTGTCATACAGTAGCTCATTACAGTATAATTGCAGGAGAGTCATGCAAAAGGCCAAATAGACAGAACACAGCCAAGAGCAAAATAAACTAGTGGTAACAAACACACACACATTCTCATATAAGCAAAAAACACTCCCAGGTTCACACAATATTCACATTTTCCTACATGGTGAAAATAATTTAGTCACTGATATACAGAGCAGTGGCTGACATTATTGCGTTCAGTGGGATTGACTGTTTTATAGAATAAACAAACAACAAAAAAGGGGGGGAAAAAACAGGTCAACATCGGGCAGGCTGAAATATACAGCAGACCGCTGTGAACAATATTCCCTCTTCTTACACCCACATGTGCTCAGTGTATAACTGTTCACCTTGTTCAGTATCAGACACTTTTCTTATGCAGAGCTGTCACACTGCAAGCAACATGTGTTCCTTCACACACTTCACTTGTGAAAACCAAACATGTTATAACAGCATGGCTGCTGCAGTCAGTGGACACACAGGTCAGTCTTGTATTTACAGTTAAAGCCCAGAGGAGGTTCACAGTGGCGCTGTCTCACAGGAAAGCACTGGGGTTTGCTCTGGGGTCCTTCTGGTTCCTGTAGCGATATGTCAGCCACACTCCCAGAATCTGACACAAAGGACACAGTGTGAGACAAACAGTAACATCTGCTCAGGTTTGTGTTAAAGGATATCAAAGAAAAGAGCCAGCTGTTTTAGGAAAATCTATTTATCTATTTGTGAGGTGTTTTTTAAAGATTTCATCTTCAGGAGGAACCAATGGGTTTGGAGCTGAGAAGACAGGAAGTCAGACAGTATTGAGAGATGGAACATGTTTTTTTGTGTCTATTCATGGGATTTGTTGACAAACAGAAACATAGAATAGAAACTTTAAATACTGTAGTAACACAATAATAATGATACTATTACTGCCATCTGCTATTACTACTGATGCTACTATTGCTACAGTTATTGCTACCAGTACCACTACTACTGCTACTACTGCCACTATTTATTTATTAAATATTTTTATTGTTATTATTTGACAGGGACAGCACACAGCTTTAGCTGTACCAGAGTTAGCTATAAACTAGCTTAAAGTTCCTGGTCAGGAAACAGAAAATAACATATCTGTTAAGGGAAATGGATTATACTGATACAACTACCACTACTACTGCCACTATTATTTATTTATATGTTTATTTGACAAGGACAGTGCACAGCCTTAGCTGTAACAGAGTAAGCTATAAGCTGGCTAAAAGTCCCGAACCAGAAATCCGAAAATAACATCTCTGATCGCCTAAGTACCTCACAAAACCCCACTTCAAAAAACCTGAACCATCCCTTTCAAATGAATAGAGTCTGAGGAGCCTCTCTTACTGTAGAGCTGGTTGCAATGCAACAGTGTGTTTGTTTGAGTGTAGAGACAGCCTGCAGGTCCCAGTGCACAGCTCAGCCTGCAGCGAGGCTCGTGATAGTCCTCCTGACTGCTATTACTCCCACTACTGCCGCTGTTTCTACTGTTGTTGCTGCTGCTGTTGCTGCTCACATCACTGTCGCCGGAATAGGGCAGACAACAAGACTTTTTGTCTTTGTCTAGAGTTAGAGTAAAGATGCTCGTATCATATGAAACTAGAGGCATCCATTGTTATTTGTCATGCTAGTTTGAAGAATGGGGCTAAATAACGCTCCACATTTAGTGTAATCTTTTGCAATGAAAAAACTGGCATTGCCATTTTCAAAGGGATTCCTTGACCTCTGACCTCAAGATATCTGAATGAAAATTGGTTCTACTGTTACTTATGAGTCTGCCCTTTACAGACCTTTATGGACCACTTTATACTGATCCCACGTTTTTTGCATACAGTATAAATGTTATTTTTGCCTTGTGTATTTTTATTATTTCTGCGTACTGGGGTTACATTTAATTGTAGTGAGACCATTTTTTAAAACTTGAAACTTGAAACTAAAGGTAGTTGAAAAGAAGTTCACTAGAGTATAACATAATCCAAATCTGGATGCCCTCTCACTTCAAAATTCTGGCACTACTGACTCCCTGTACTATTATTACTGCAACTGCAGCTACTAGTATTACTTATACAAACAGAACTACAACTAATGGTCCTAATGCTAATGTATAGCATCTAACAACCCTCAGTAGTGTTGTAGTTGTGGCTCACCTCGGTGAAGCTGAAAAAGAGTCCGATCCCTCCCACAAAGCGGAGAGCCTCTCCAACATGTGCCTGGATCTTATCTGCACAGGGCCTACACGAGTGGTTGGGGAAACAAGTCTGCAGGAGAACCACAGATACAAAACTTAAAGCAGTTTCTCACACCTTTTACTGCGTCTACCAACTCAGAAAAAATCAGGCTCTCCCAGTACCACCGCTATGACTGACATTAAAATACAGCAGCGTACATAGAGCCTATTCAGCTATGGATAGTTCATGCAGGTTTATTCCAAATAAGAAGATTATTTATTGTTGACTTTTGTTGAATCGTGAATGGAACCAGTTCAAGAACCAGAGCTTATTTTGGTGTAAAAGGGGCCCTCCTGGTCCACACTTCCCTTCCCAATAGCTCCTGTTTGGAGCCATAATTGCAGTGTTTTTGAACCATTCATTTTACCTCCAATTACTATCTTACCATCACACTTTAGCTCCTAAATTATCATGGATGTATGCATGCTACGTGCAAAACATATTTTATATGACAGAAATCTCATAGCTGCAGTAGGCAATTTTTATAAAAATAAAATATTTCCTGAAACTTTCACTATATCCTGACAGTAGTACATATTGTTTTAAGGAGTTCGGTCTAGACCTGCTCCATTTGAAAAGTGTCCTGAAATAACTTCTGTTATGAATTGGCGCCATACAAATAAAATAAAATTGAATTGAATTGAATAGTACATGAGACTCTCATTGGTTGTTTTTGTTCAGGCTCAGTAGATTCTTGCAAATACCATTAGGATCACCAGAACGGGCCAGAGAAACCTGATTTTTTTCACAGATTATCTGTCTCATGTGCCACTGTTAGGATATAGCTAGAGTTTCAGCAATAATGACCAAAACTTACTTCTATAAAAGTTACCTACTGAAGCTTTAATCATATTATATGTTTTAAAACAGATTTATTTCATTTTATAAAAATATTTCAGAAATTCCTCCTTGTACCACTTGAGGCTGCTGAATCACCAGTGGTATAGGCACCATTATATGAGAACCAATGTATTGTGTCATGTTAGAGATTTTTATGATCTCAAATTGAACTTTACTGCTATTCTTCAAATGATTCAATCCTAACAACTGAGAAACCATCAGTCTATTTGAACATGTTGAAATACCGATCCAGACTCACAGCGTCACAGGTGCGGTTGGGGTCCAACTGTTTGAAGCCACAGCAGTTAAGGCTCTTCTCCACATCCCTCTGAGTGCTCTGAGAGTTATTCCAGGCCACCTCCAGCAGGTGATCCTGCAGCACACACACAGCAGCAACACAAAGCATTATTGACAATCAGTCACTACTATTAGTGTAGTTGTTGCTACTGCTGTAGCTGTGCACCTTTGTCTCTGTCTCTGTCCTTCTGTCGTTACCTCTGTCTCTCACCCCAACTGGTCGAGGCAGACGGCCACCCACCTAGAGCCGGTGTCTGTCCTACGTTTCTGCCTCTTAAAAGGAAGTATTTGGTGGTACTGTTGGGTCTCTGTAATTAATGTTTTAAAGAGTTCGGTCTAGACCTGCTCTATTTGAAAAGTGTCCTGAGATAACTTCTGTTGTGAATTGGCGCTATACAAATAAAATTGAATTGAACTGAATTGAATTGACAGCATTTTCAGTTTTTATTCCGAACTGTCTACTGTGTTCAGAAGACATATCGTGAAAGGTCTTTAATCATACAATGGTTAAAAATATTATGGTTAGTTTGGAAGGTATCATTTCACCAAAACATTGGGGGAGAGAACAGCCGTTCTTGAGTTTCAAGTTTATAAATAAAGAATTATTCAAAGCAAACTGAAATCAACTGCATAAAGCAGAATAAAATAAATGTAAAGATCTAGTGTGTAACATTTAGGATGATCTACTGTCAGATATTGAATATAATATTCATAGGTATGTTTTTATTAGTGTATAATCACCTGAAAATAAGAATAGTTGTGTTTTTGTTACCTTAGAATGAGCTGTTTTTATCTACAGACACGGGTTGACTTCCATGGAGTTGAACCACCATGTTTCTACAGTAGCCCAGAAGGGACAAACCAAACACTGGCTCAAAATAGGGGTGTTTGCATTTTTTGCAGCCACTGTAGTTTCTCCTCCGGGCTCGAAAGGGGAGTTTGAAGTGAACTACACTGTTAGATACTACTAAATCCTACACACTTCACCTTTAAAATTATGGTGTTTTTAAAAAAAAAACCGAATTTCTCAGAAATCCTGCTGCTTGACTACCCTCCTCCTCCTTAAACAGAGCACATTCTGAGGCACTCAGTTTTGTCTTGTAATCAGTACACGGTTTCCAAGCTGCCATGTTAGCCATAGACAATAGGCAATAATACAGTGTAGGATGACAAGTAGAAGTTTTTTCAAATAAATAATAATAAATACTGCTGCGCCTGAAAACATTAAATTGCAAGAATTATGAACATTACCCTGCGAATAGAACATCCACTCAGGCATTTTATAATAAAATGCGAGTGGGTTTAGATTATGAGATGCTTGTGTGTTCAAGATGTCACACATTTCAAACTCCACTAAAAAAATAACATTTTTAAAAGTATTTTGAAAGTATATTTTTAACAAAATAAGGGCCTCCAAAAAGCTAGAAACGACACTGATGGCCGGCTTTAAACCGCCAAGTGTGACCGAAGTTTCTTTAAGGGAAAAACTGTGTTGCAGTTATTGGACAGGGTCCCATTTCTCAAGCAGTCTGCTCTACCTTACACACTTGAAATATGGGTAATTTTATATACAGTATGTCTGAGCTCATTATTTGTGAATCATAAGTAGCATTAGAAAGGTGCTGTGAACTTCTGTCTTATTTCTTGTTTGCTGTGTCATCAGGGCTTTAAACAGTGCCCACACATCTAGCAAAGCCACTTCCTGATAAGGGAAGATGATATCCATCGCTGCCAGTGAGCTGCGCTAAACAAGTGCTAATGGATGATGTTCCCTGAGGGGGCTGAGGATTGTGTATGTTGGACAAATTCTTCAAATGGTGACTTCTGGGTAATGCATCACTGTTCTTCTGAGACAGGAATCAAAAGGAGCGGAAAAATGCTCCCTTGGTTGCCCTCTGCACAGAGTAATTTCCTACATGGCCCATTAATAACAATGAATTTATTTATATCCCGCTTGTGATGGATGTACCAGTGACTGAGGATCTGAACTAAAATATTTGGTTAATACCATGTGGTCACATGATATTCTCAGAATTTTCTGAAGCTGAGGGTGGTTGCCCAATGCAGCGAAAAAATAACTGATTTGATATTTAGAATCCAATGTAACCGAAAGAGTCAAGAAAGAGGCCTATCACTTTGGGCTGATGCTTAAAGATAGTTGATTGATGTCTCCTAGCATCTGCTGACGCCCTGGGTATGAGACTTAACAACCAAGTATCTTTCTTGTCTCTGGTTGGTTGTTTTTGTTCAGGCCCGGTGGATTCTTGCAAATACCATTAGGAGCACTAGGAGGAGCCGGAGGAAGCAGATGTTTTTTCATAGATTATCTGTCTCATGTACTACTGTCAGGATATAGTGAACGTTTCATAATGACAAAAAGTATTTATTTTTTAATAAAAGTTACCTACTGCAGCTTTAAGACCCACTGTGCTAGACGTATGCACATAAAATATGGTCTTGATTCCCATATATATGGGTGTGTTTGCAGGGTCAAGAAGTCAATCCAACTAAAGTGATAGAGAAGAATGGCATCTAGCCGTGAAGTTACATCTAACTAAGTTATAAGGAGTTCGGTCTAGACCTGCTCTATTTGAAAAGTGTCCTGAGATAACTTCTGTTATGAATTGGCGCTATACAAATAAAATTGAATTGAATTGAATTGAATTAAGTGAACACCACTCGTGTCTATATTGACAATCTGGGAATGATAACGGGCTGTGAAGTGTGTAGGAAAAACTAGGCTAAAAGGCCCTATCTAGAGCCAGTGTTCGGGTTTTTTCCGTTTTTGGCGACTGTAGAAACTTGGGGGTTCAACATGGCGACAAAAACACAATTCTTACTTTCAGGTACTTACGCACTAATGAAAACCTACCTAGGAATATTATGTTTCATTTCTGACAATAAATCCTCCTAAATGTAACACACTAGTCCTTTAAAGGCATACTATGCAGTTTTCCGGTTTTGTCAAACAGCTACCCCTAGAGTCGCTGCGGAGTACTTGTATTTAACTTTAAAAAGAGTCGTAAATACCTCTCACCAGAGCAGTCTCTATATACGGCTCTGCGTCTCTGCGCTCACGGCCTGATCCCCTCCCCCCTGTATACCGGTACATGTTCAGTAGGATGGAAGTGTCGGACATCGAACAGGCAAAGATAGACTCCGAAGATGTCTACTGACCAGGTAACGTCTGAGTGAATGCCTGCTAGTGTCTTCCATTGAGGCTGCTTCTTATGTCGCTGATGTATGTGACGTCGCACCGTAAAGCAATTTGTGATTCTCGCGAGATTTGGCGGGAAGGCACCTTTCAGACTTGCATTGCTGGTTCTGCCAACAGCGTCCCTCTCCCGCTGTGCCATCGGGATGATTCGCTATACTACGAGTTTGTTTACCATCAAAATGACTTAGAAGCTGTTATATTAAGGTAAAAATCTTGCATAGTGTGCCTTTAATGCTTCTTTCTCAAGTTATTGAAAGTTATCCTACAACAACCTCCCTCTCAAACGATGGATTACGAATGACTGCCAGTCCTTTGATTGTTTAAGATTTCCACCTAAAAGCTGCTTTAATGGAGAAACTGAAGATCTTACCTGTTGCTCCCTGTTAATGGCCAAACAGGCACTGGAGACAGAGAACTGCACGATGAAAACCATGAACAGGATGATCATGTACTGGGCTTCAGTGTCAAGGAACAACAACAAATACACACAGTGTGTTGACACTGGCATTAATAGAATGAAATCTGCAGTTTGTAGGGCTAGAAACAGAGCTGTATGCACTGTCCCCCCATGGCTGACTACAGCATGAAATATGACGCCGCTCTGGATCTTATTGCACATGCATACATGAATGGAAAATGGATTTTCCAAAACACTGAGGTGCAGAGAGCATACTGTGGTAGATTAAAGTCAGCTTGTGGGTCATAAATTCATTACCAAGCCCCTCACCTCTGCAAAAGACACATTCTAACAGATATCTATGGTGTTAATGTAAATATTCAAAAAAAATATCCTTTTTTAGAATTCTTAATGAAAAAAAATATCTATCTATCTATCTATCTATCTATCTATCTATCTATCTATCTATCAAATATCTTGTTAATTCAAAAAATCTGAGCATAATTGTCTTTATTATGAAAGATTATGAATTATGAGAAAATACATCGTTACTTCAGAAGAACAGAGTGGAATAAGATCTCCAAATATTTTTTACAGCGTGAATCAGTAAACATCCAGATATATATACCATATATACCATAACATACTTTACAGAAAACTGCTACAATGTGTTTCATTTCCTCACAAATTTATCAGTACATTTCATACACTATGATTAAGATCTGTGGAATTTGCAATGATGGTTAATATGATTTAAAGGGTAAAACTGGCTTTGCTAATCAAACTAAAATGATCAGAATCAATGTGGTTTGTGCACATATGACCAAAAGAAAAATGAGATTTGGTCACTTTTTCTTGCAGTGTGAATGTAGCCTTAGATTGAGACCAACAACCTTGTGAAGCGTTAACACATAAAAAACGTTTTCAGTGCAATTAAGTGATGAATTCCTTTAAACACAGATCCAGTTCAACCAAATGACATTTTCTGGGTGGCAGTTATATCAAATATACATAAAGACAGCCATAGTATGAGCAGTATGAAGGATACGAAGAAGAGCAGGACCTGGTGATGCTTCATGGCCCCGATGAGTCCGGCGAGGGCCACGAAGAAGAGGAAGACGCCCACACCGATGATGACCCCCACCACCTGGAAACTGGAGACCAAACCGAACCACATCCCCCATGCTGCGATGCCGATCATCAGCAGGCTCACCATCTGCAGGACAGACACATGGACTGAGTCTGGATGCTACCATTATTGTGATCTGTAATATATGTTATCCTTGCAGGAATTTCAAGATTTCAGTATCAAATGAAGGCAATTTCTGTACAAATTGCGGGTGTGAATGCTGGAGGTTGAAAGGCTGATGCTACACTGAATTGCTGACTTTAAATTGTATGAAGAAGCTGCAACTAGTATTCTAGCTGGAAAAGTGGGAAGGAGTCTAATTACTATGACTAGGACTGAAAAGTTGAATACATCTTAAAAGGTATGGATATGAGTTGACAAAAGAGTTTGAAAATTTGAAAAAATACAGTCTTAACATTCTGGTCCATAAGAATGAATGCAAAACAAAGGCTGAACATTGGATGAGTTTTGAGTTGTGATTGTGTTAAAAGTACGTAATAATGTGAAAAAGTTTCTATGTGAATGTATGAATAAGTGGGAAGAGGTTGGAGATAAGTGGATTTGAAGGTCTTTCTAATTGTCTTCTATAAACTTCAATAAAGTTGAATATTTTAAAATGTTGAATGGTATTTGAAAGTTGAATAATATTTATATACAATATCTGAAAGATGTGGAACATTTGAGAGTTTCAATGTTGTTTCTAATGGAAAGATGAATGAGTAGTTATGAATTAAAAAAATGGGGTTGGAAACTGTAAAAATGTGAGAATTATGGACATTCCGTCCATTATTTTAAAGCTGCAGTAGGTAACTTTTATAAAAATAACTTTTTGTCATTATTCCTAAAATTTTCACTGTGTTGTGAAAGTAGTACACAAGACAGATAGTCTGTGAAAAAATCAGGTTCCTCTGGCTCCTCCTAGTGCTCCTAATGGCATTTGCAAGAATTCACAGGGCATGATCGAAAACAACCAATCAGAGCCAAGGAAGATGCTTTGGGTTAGAAGCTTGAAGATAGTTGATTGTTGAGTCTCATTCCCAGGGTACTAAAATATATGATGCCCTGATATGAAACTCAACAATCAGCTATCTTTCTCACTTCTGTTTGGTTGTTTTCATTCAGGCCCGGTGGATCCTAGCAAATGCCATTCAGTTTGTCTCCTGTACTACTGTCAGGGTATAGTAAAAGTTTCAGCAAACATGACAACAAGTTATTTTTATGAAAATGTACCTACTGCAGCTTTAAATGAGGATTTTTCCCCCAGGAAAACCTGGAATGTTTCAGAAAGTGTGAAAGGTATAAATGAGAAAAGTAGTGACACCATTCCCAAGTCACCTGAATATTTTGAAAGTTTCTATTAGTGGTCGACCAATATGGGTTTTTAATGGCCAATATTCAATTCAATTCAATTTCATCTGTATAGCGCCAATTCATAACAGAAGTTATCTCAGGACACTTTTCAAATAGAGCAGGTCTAGACCGAACTCCTTATAACATTATTTACAGAGACCCAACAGTACCACCATGAGCAAGCACTTGGTGACGGCGACAAGGAGGCAGAAACATAGGATAGACCCCTCGGCTCTAGGTGGGTGGTCGTCTGCCTCGACCAGTTGGGGGGGTGTGAGAGAGAGAGAGAGAGAGAGAGAGAGAGAGAGAGAGAGAGAGAGAGAGAGACAGAGAGAGAGACAGAGAGAGAGACAGAGACAAAGCTGCACAGCAACAACAGTAGCAACAACTACACTAATAGTAGTGACTATATAGAATGCCAATATTAAAATTCTATTCTATAGGACATTCAGACATATGTTTACCACACGGCTCCATAACCAAGTTACAGTACAGGGCTCAAAACCCCCTTCCTAAAAAGGGGGAGTGAAAAAAGACAGCTTGCAGATGTGTCTGAAGACATTTTTTGTTTATCAGCCTTGTGAGTACAGTCATTTGCCGATGCCTATTATTTCACAATGCCAAATAATCTGCCTGATTAATTAATTTCGGTTTCTATGTTGCAAAGAACCCCCAGAAAGTTTGTAGAAGAACATATGGGTGTAAATGCTGAAATATGAGGATTAAACCCCAGCAGGAAGACAAACAGCTGGATTAGCTTAATCTCCTATAAATTCTGTCCTAGGTTCTAAATAAGCTTTATTGTGATGTCTTTAAACGCTGTGTGTGTGGACATTGTCCAACAGTCTGAATGATTTAGGAGCACACAGTCAGCTGCTCACTTAAAAAGCATTAAAGTAAAATGTGTCCTTCAGAATCTCTTAATAAATAACAAAATAGCATAACATTAAAATCTTTGAAATCCTCCTCCAGTCAGAAATCAATGTTTCTTCTTGTCCTTACAGTGCGCTGTTTGAATGATGTATGTGCAGAGTTTGACACTAGAAGGATGTTTTCACATTCATCTGTTGAAAGTGGAAAGTTTCTCTGTGCTCACTGAAAATCTGATTTTAAGGGGCGGGGCCTACCAGCAGGAAGTCAGTCCTGGTCCAGTATCAACTTGTACAGTGTGATGTAGAAACTTGAAGCCACCAGTGCACATCCACTGAGAATGGACTTTACAGTGAAGGAGGAGACTTCTTGTGTTCAGCAGGAAAATGTTTGAAATTAACATTTACATATTCAGAGATTCTGGAATTTTAATGAGGTAGAAGGAGTAGATCACTTTTTAAGGATTTTGATGTGGAATTTATACTTTTTTTGTAGAAAAAGCATATCAGACACATTATTGTTCCAAGCAGACTACTTGTATATGTGTCGTTATACATGTCTGGTGGGGATCTTTAAGTAAAGTACCTCAAAATGTACTTAAGTAAAGTACTTAGTTGCTTGATTTAAATGTTCAGATGTTATGTTATTATTTAGTACAGATCATCATCATTCAATCAGATTCATAAACACAGACTGCAATGTATGTTTCTTTCCCTAAATAACAAAAATACACATCCATGTATAGAGGACTATTGTATGATTATTAATCTTTATATCAGGTCACATTAAAAGAGGTATTGTTGGCTATCATCATTCCTTGTGTCCGTACTAAGTTATCCCTTTCATTCCTGAAAGCCCCCTTCCTGTGCAAAAACACATTCTTGACATGAGTTAAAGCTAATAGTTATTCAAATAAAGAGAGTGGTTTCTACCTTTAACATGCTACTAGAGCAATTTAACTTTACACTTTTAAGAAAAGTTTGTAGAAAGATTAAAAAACTAATGGTCAAAACTGCAGCAGAGGCCAAGATATCAAACTGTCTGTTAATGGGACAGTTTACCCCAAAATGAAAAATACATAACACAAGAACATCGTTATTAACTGCTCACAGCAAGGTCTCATATTGGGTAGGCTACCGGGTCATGAATTCTGTAAATAGACATTAGTGTTGAGCTTTCTAAATGTATCTTTTTTGGTGCTTTGAGCACCACGAGCCAGTTTAGACTCAAAGAGAGTCTTAAATTCAATGAAAAAAGTTTGTGGAAATAAAACAGTATATTGATTTCTAATGCCACCTTTATATATTTCTATTCAATGCTTTACTAATGTTCCACAATAATGTTTTTGAGTTTGAATATATTCATTTGGGGGGGTTTCCAAGCAAATATTGATATATGTGAATGTTTCAGATTAAATCAGCACATATTTCTGCCATCCCTTAAAGCCATCCTCTGGACACCCAGTAAATATCCGCCCCTGGTTCAGGTCGTTTCTGCAGCAGGTGTACTCTGCTTGTTGGAACCTGGAGGGGTGATATACACACAGGTCTATAGTTCAAGTTGAGAAAGCAGAAGAGCTATCAGAGGCTGCAGGCAAACGTCCTCTGTACTGCCATAAAATGGATGGAAGAAAATAAAATTTAAAGCTTTAGAAGCTGCACTTTGCAAACATTCCCTCCTTAAAAAGAGACCTTAAAAAGCTATTTCTAATTTGTTTTTATCGGATGGATCCAGTAGAGCATCTGATCGCGGCACAGCAGTGAATAATTGATTATTGACCTCATCGGTGTGTTGTTTACAGCAGCAGGTTTCCTACACTATATTTACACACTCACAGGATGAATAAAACAAGTGTCTGTAGATAAAAGCGCCAGTACAATCATCCATATGGTACATCCATACTCACTACATAGAGGATGTTGAGCGCGCACAGGGAGTGTTTGGAGCAGGTGAATCCAGCGCAACCCATCTTGGTAAACAAATAAATACAACAAATCCTTCAAAACTACAGTTAAATAAATATCTGCATTCCAGAAATAAAAAAGACAAAAATAATTCCCCGCTGGAGTAGATGGTCGCCCAGCAGCAGTAGGTCTAACCTGGAAAGAACCGAGAGTGATGCGTCAATACCAGACAATGCAACAGGCGTAAAGAGGAAGTTAGTTATCAAGCTTTCAAAATAAATGCATGTCATTTGTCACGTGACAGTTTCTATGGTAGTTCCCTTTATGCTCCTTTAAAAAAGTAAAAAATCACAAAAGATGAATGATTCCTAAAATAATCTGTAATCTTTTTACTTTTATGTTTGAAATCAATCTTAAACGTAATCTAACCAATATTGACTAATTTAACTCATTATTTAAGTAACAATGCGTATTAAGTATCAGTCTTCACTTTAACTGATGTGGCATTGATGATATTAGATGCAGGGTCTTTCAGTTTGTATTGGGATTGATTGTCGCCTGAAATCCTATGCTTTAATTTTGAAGGGCGCATTCCACTAAATTTCGGTTTAAACGTAGTCACTTATTTTAGCTTGACGTCTGTTCGGCATATGACTCAGTGAGGGAGGGCTCCAGAGCATCCAGCCCGCTGATTGGCTGCAGTGGGGTTGTGTTATTTCCTCTGAAAATCTTCCAGAAAGAATGGATCAGTAGGCCTACAGTGTGCGGATGAGCAGTCAGGTTACATTACAGCCAGTGTGAGCTGCTGAATCTTCCTGTCTCGTGTTACTCTCACACTTCATATATGATTCATCAGTGACCCTGTTGGTCTGATTGGAGCACAGTTGTTTCTGGGTCACACCAGGACTCTTTAAGTGACAGTCCCTGTTCAGCAGACCCTCACTGCATATCAGCCAAAAAGCCAGAAACATGTTGCAACAGGAAATATTGACCTATGTTATATTGAACACAGTTAACTGTCTGACAAAATGACTGTCAGTTAAATGTGTTCAATATAACAACCACAGTACGATTCAAGGCTATTATAGTTAACTAGAACTAAACTTAAAGGATGAGATGACCCAAACTCACTCAGGAAAACTAATTGAAAGTAAAAATAAAAACTAATGAAAAATTACGATAATAATTCTGGTCACATTAATATATAATGGGGAGGACACGTTCCCCCTCATTATTCAAATACACTCAAAATGCCACCCCCGCCCACCCCCAATATATTAATATATAGCCTATATTAAAAAACGCTATTAGAACCACACACTGCCATCTGATATATTCATGTAATTAGTTATTACTAGACTTAACAAATTGCCATTATCATTACTTCCTGTCCTAGATTGAGACATTGATACAGTGTACTATAGTTCTGTGTGTGGTTTGTCCAAGTGGTGTTACTGTAGAGTCTGTTGCTCGACTGTTGTTGGTACAATCAGTGTCAAATGATGTGCTCTCTCTCTATTTTATTAGCTTCGAATGTATTTAAAAGTGGAAAAACTAGAATGTAATATGATTGTAGGCTATATCACTGTCGATTGTGAGAGTGTTGAAAAATGTTTACCCATACACTCTGACCCATGTGTTCATGAATTTTAAAATATGTTAGAATGGCAGGAAGGGATTTTTTTCTGAGAGGGACCCCTAGACAGATCTTTTTACTCCATACAGTATCAAAATGATTGTCTCATTATGACCACTCTTGAAATACACAGTTGCTTACTTATTCTTTTGGTTTTGTTTTAGTTTTTTTTATTTTTATTTTTGCATTACTTCTATTTTTGATATTATTGTTAGTATTTGATTACGTGCAGTGACACCATCTACCTGTTTAACAGATCAGTGATAATCACTGAGGGAGGTATTAACTGAAACTGACAAAAGTACTAAGATACAGCAAATTTAAAATTCAACCTGGTGAACCAATATATCTAATTTTCACAGCATCAACAATATGTTATTACCGTAGATTAAAACTGCAGTAGGTCATTTTTATAAAATTATGTCATATTTGTTGAAAACGTTCACCACATCCTAACAGTAGTTTATGAGACAGATAATCTGTGAAAAGATCTGGTTCATCTGGCTCCTCCTAGTGCTCCTAATGGTATTTGCAAGAACCCTGAACCAATCAGGTGGGTGTTGAGTCTCATCCCCAGGGCATCGAATACAGATGTTTTGGGACTCTCGGAATGAGACTCAACAATCAACTATCTTCAAGCTTCTGACCCAAAGCATCTTCCTTGGCTCTGATTGGTTGTTTTCGATCATGCCCGGTGGATTCTTGCTGGAGGAGCCAGAGGAACCTGACTTTTTTCACAGGTTATCTGTCTCATGTTCTACTATTAGAACACAGTGAAACTTTCAGCAATAATGACAAAAAGTTATTTTTATAAAAGTTACCTACTGCAGCTTTAAGTTTTGACATCATCATAACCGATGTTGATGACTAGTGAAAAGATCCCTGTCACATCCGCTTTGTGAATGGATTTAATGTGTGAGAATAAACGAGTGTATACATAAACATATAAAACCAGTTTATTCATAAAAAGATGAGAGCATTGCCACGTTAAATACACAGGTGTGCTTAAAACTCACTTGTGTGTGTGTGTGTGTGTGTGTGTGTGTGTGTGTGTGTGTGTGTGTGTGTGTGTGTGTGTGTGAGTGTGTGTACTAAAACAAGTGGTTACTTTTCCTGGACAATGTTATAGATGGAGTCTGTGCTCAGATGGATGGATGTCAATAAGGCCCTCTGGTCCAGTGTTCAGAAACTCTCTGGTTATCTGACGGTGTTTGGCTGCCTCAGGTGGGGAGATGGACTCTACATGTTAACTAGCTGCTACGCTGTCATTCAGGCTACAGGATGCAGACTACAGAAACTCCTACTGCTCCTCCTCTAGCCCTCCTCCCCCTCTGACTCCGACTCTGTGGGCAGGAAGAGAAGAAAGCATGAGACAACGGCTCCACCTGCTGGCTACACTGAGAATTACTATCTCATTTAGGTACATCACTGTCTCACAAAAGAAGAGCCTATGTATGGAAGCTGATTCCTGCCAGGAAAATAAATACTTAGATGATAATATAGGACAATTAGAAATAAAAGTGAGTATCTTTCTGTAAGTAAATTATATTTTTAATATACAACAATGAAACTGTATCACTTGCTCATAATAAATAATAGTAAAAATTATGACTTCAAATCTACTATATAATTTTTTGTAAGTAAAAATTACACTTAACAATAACAATATTATAACTGAGAAATACAATAATCAGAAATCTGATCCTTTAAGTTATAAGAGACTATCATAGTTGTGATTATAACTGGATAAACTGGCAATCTTAATTATGAGAGGTGAATTAATAATTTATTTATTTCAACCAAACCAGAGTTGGTGATTGTTGGAACACTGGAAAAACTAACCAAAACAGTTTTAGTGAGTTTTATTTTGTTTCTGTCCACTTTGAATGAAGTTACAATGTTGGGGTGATCTACAAGATAAAATTACCGTTTTTGTCTATGGAGTCTGGTGGAGAGTCACAGCGATATCGTTAGCTGTTTCTGTTAAACAAAAGGTCTGTCTCTGTAGGGGGCTCTTCCATAAGGTTGTCAGACACTTAGAATATCAATCTGAGCATGTCAGTGGCAAAAACAAGAACTTTTAATGGAAGTACTTTGACTGTACATTTGTCCTAAAAGATTAGCTAACGTTACATAGCAGCTATTTTAACATCTAAGTCTGTGAATTAAGGGTTTATTTTGACCAAACCAGAGTTGGTGATTGTTGGAAAGACTGTGTAAAGACTAACAAAGACAGTGTTGGTGAGTTTTATTTTGTTCCTATCCATTTTTAAGTGTTTTACGATGATCTGCTAGGTAATTGGTAAATGGTAAATGGACCTGTACTTGTATAGCACCTTTCTAGTCTTCCGACCACTCAAAACCCTTTTACACTACGTGCCACATTCACCCTTTCACACACATTCACTCAGTGATGGCAAAGTCCATCGAACAGAAACTAATGCATTTATACACATTCACACACCAATGCATAGCATCGGCAATTTGGGGTTCAGTATCTTGCTCAAGGATACTCAGGAGGAGCCGGGGATCGAATCAACAACTTTCCGATTATGGGACGACCCGATCTGCCTCTGCACCACAGTGCTGTAAAATTACAGGATTTGTCTATGAAGTCTGGTTGGCTGTAACGCCCATGGTTTTGGTCTGAGATGCTGGTGCTTTTGTGTGACAGTTGTAAATGAATTTCATATGTATAACCGTTTTCCAAGTGACCATCCACCATGTTATTTTTGACTAAATATGTTCATGACTATGCATGTTTGTTTCCAGTAATAACAAATACTGAAATAAGGGAAGTAAAAATTGTATTGCCTTCTTCAGCATTCTGGAGCCATTCAACAAACTTCTTCATCTGTTCCAAGAAGACACTCTTCCCTTTGGCACCATGGGCATCTTTGTACCACTTCAAGATGGCCTCCTCGCTCAGTACATCAGCTGAGTTAAGAGAGAAAAACATTCAGTACTGGGAGCTTAAAACTTCTACTGAAGGACAACAATGAAAACACATCTAGAAAGATAAATCAGGATTGGATGCAAGAGGATACAATTGATGGATGCAGTGTGGATGTGTAAGATGCTGACCTTTGTAGAAGAGCACCACTATCTTAGAGAAGGACTTCATGAAGTGGATGTTGTCGTAGCAGTACTCCTGGATCTTCAGGAGCAGCACCAGCTCAGACTGACCCTGAGTGCTGAACACCGCCAGCAGAGGAGCATAGTGCTGAGAAAGAGCACACCACAATTCCAGAGTGAACACATGACCTTGAATACCTACACAAATGTTCATGTTAGAGTTACAGTTAAATCCCTAGTATGTAGGATTTTAGTGGATTTCTAAGGGAACAAATACAGAATTATTCTTATTTTCAGGTAAATGGTAAATGGACCTGTACTTGTATAGCACCTTTCTTGTCTTCCGACCACTCAAAGCGCTTTTACACTACGTTAGACATTCACCCTTTCACACACATTCACTCAGTGATGGCAAAGCCCATCGAACAGAAACTAACTTTCATACACATTCACACACCGATGCACAGGGGAGCCATTTGGGGTTCAGTATCTTGCTCAAGGATATTTCGACATGTGGCACCAGGAGCTGGGGATGAAACCCACAACCTTCTGATTAAGGAACGACCCGATCTGCCTCTGAGCCACAGCCACCCTTAGGTGATAATACACTAATGTAAACATACCTGAATGAATATTATATTCAATTTCTGCCAATAGATCCTACTAAATGTTACACACTGGACCTTAAATCAAATGTGAAAAACAAAATCAATGCCAATACTAACTGTCAGCATATATTGAAAGTTTCAGCTGATGTCAGAAGATTTTCTAAAATCCATTCCATATTACACCTTTAGAATACTAACTACATGTTTTATAACCTGTTTCCTGTTCTGAAGTTGGACCTCTGTCACAACCTCTATTGTTTTTTCTGAACTCAGTGGAAAGAGTTGATGAGGGACACTATGTACAATACAGCACTGTGATCAGCTGTGTGTGACCTACTTTGAGGTGTTTGAGTGCCTGCTCTGTGACCAGCTCCTCCTTCTTGTTCCACTCCACAGCATTCATCAGGCACGTCCACAACAGCCCAATCACAGCCTGCTCCTGCAAATGGTTCCTTTTCATCTCCTCCTTCACATACACCACCATCTGAACACACACACACACACACACACACACACACACACACACACACACACACACACACACACACACACACACACACACACACGTATACAGTAATGCCTGGCTCAAAATCTAGTGACACTGACAGTACAGTATGTTTCCTACATTGGGAGATGTGTACCTCTCTGATGGGGCACTGCTGGGACAAGCGCTCCTGTAGTTCCTTCTGCAGCTCTTTGCGGGTTCCCAGGCTCTGCTGTATGCGCAGGAAGTCAGACAGCTCCTTGAGCCCAGCTTCATTGAAGTACTTAGAGAAATGCTCCACATTCTGCTTGTTAACAGGAAACAGCTCCTGAGGTCAAAATGAGAAAGTTTTTTAAATTATATTTGCTGAAATTTTCACTATATTTTGACAGTAGTACATGAGACAGATAATCTGTGAAAAATCAGGTTCCTTTGGTTCCTCCTAGTGCTCCTGATGGCATTTGCAAGAATCCACCAGACCTGAACAAAAACAACCAATCAGAGCAGAGAAAGATAGTTGACTGAGTCTCATTGCCAGGGTGTCAAATTCAGACGCTTTGGGAAACTGGGAAATGAGACTCATCAACTATGTTCAAGCTTCCAACCCAAAGCATCTTTATATCTTTCAGGATATAGTGAAAACTTCAGCAATAATGACAAAAAGTTATTTTTTATCAAATTTACCTACTGCAGCTTTAAATCAATCTTGTATAACTCATGGTCTGTTACTGGGTGTTTGCTTGGTCTATAATTTGAAAAATCCTATTGCTCAAAGTAAGAGATGCAGTTCGTATTTTTAGTTAGTTTTATTTAAAAAATCCTAACTGCAGCTTTAAATACATATGAGTGACGGCACTCATATGGAGAGGAGGTCAGATCTTCATGGGCTATTTGTCTGATATCCATAGCAACAGACCAATGGCGTCTGTATCTTTAGCTGTGCAAGGAAAGTTGGGAATCAAGGCTCACAGTCAGAGTTCTAGATCTGGTTTGTATCAGGTTCTAATATTTAGAAACATCAAGCATTGGGGCTAACAGGTGAACACAATCTCCATGGACCCTTTCCTGCTACAATACTCAGCATTCCATCCTGTTTTGGTTCCCTTCATGGTTACTCTCTGATTCTATTTCTAGAGAAACATACCACACTTTAATAAACCTCCTGCTGAAGTACCCGTTGAGCATTGTGTTCTTCTTACCAGAAGTCTTTTATCTAGGTTTGCCTTCCTCAAAGATGAGGTTACTGAATTGGCATCTTTCTCTGCGATCCATGCTTTGAACATCTTCACAGCAAATGATGCAGAAGTCCCTGAAAATAGTGTAAAGAAGGAGACAAGTTGGAAAACCATCTCTTTGTTATTTGGCATAACTATTTACTTGTGGCGATAGAAGAGTGATATCTAAGGAACAGAAACATGGCACAGATCCTCTTCAGAAACACATATATCCAGAGACACATATCTTAATCTATATCTTTAAAGCTGCAGCAAGTAATTCTTTTGGTCTTGTGCAAATGGACCTGAATAAAAACAACCAATCAGAGCCAACAACGATAGTTGATTGTTGATAACTCCTGGGTCGTCAAATACAGATGCTTTGGGACCCTGGGAATGAGACTCAGCAATCAACTATCGTCAAGCTTCCAACCCAATCTTTATATCTTTCTCGGCAAATGCCATTAGGGGCACAAGGAGGAACCAGAGGAAGCAAATTTTTTCACAGATAATCTGTCTCATGTGCTACTGTCAGGATATAGTGAAAGTTTCAGCAAATAGGATTAAAAAAATGTGAAACAGTGAAAATGTCAGTTAATATGACAAAAAGTTATTCCTATAAAAGTAAACTACTGCAGCTTTAATGTTATGAATATGTTTTGGATAATTTCCACCCCCAGGATCAATAGAGTATTTCTGATTAAAAAATTAACAGCCCTTTCTGATTTTCTATTTCTTATTAAGTAATTATTTAAAATCACTTCCACTTTTTGCTTAAAGTACATGCAAATTAAACTATAAACCTCTTTCCACATCCACGTCTCACAGTTAGACCTGCTACAAGGCACAAATCTATCCTAATGGTAACTTCTCCTTTAAAATTCAGCAGAGTTGTGTCCTCTCACCTTCTTTGACCACACTGTCGGTGAAGAGGCTGGTGATGATGGGAGGTGGTAGAGCGTTGTTGGCCAGCAAGATGCCTGTCAGCATGGCCAGCTTGGTCTGCTCCGACTCACTGAAGGCCTTCAGGAAGAGCAGTAGCTACACAATGACAGACAGCCCAATGTGAGGACAGTCACAGTCTGATGTATGACTAGAGCTTAATAAAACCAATATTTTATACATAAAGAACACAACTGTGTTTAGACAATTGCATTAATTTATGCTTTATGTCCCTAGTCCCTCCTATCTATCTTTATACAGATCTAATTTTATAAGGAGTACGGTCTAGACCTGCTCTATTTGAAAAGTGTCCTGAGATAATTTTAGTTATGAATTGGTGCTATACAAATAAAACTGAATTGGATTGAACTGAATTAATGAATTAGAAACTAGTGATCAGAAACTAGTCTTAATGTTGCAACTTTTTTTTACTGAATTAATGCATTTCATTGAATCTTTTAGGCAGCAAGTGAACATTCTGTCCTCAAAGTGGATGTGTTAGAAGCAGCAAAAATGGGCAGCGTGAGGATTTGAGCGACTTTGACAAGGGCAAAACTGTGCTACTGTAGTTCAGATTGCTAAAACAGTTAATGCTGGTTCTGATAGAAAGGTGTCAGAACACACAGTCCATCACAGTTTGTTGGTATGGGACTGCAGAACATTATGACCACCAGGGTGCCCAGGTGCTCAGAATGTTATGGCTGATCGGTGTATTTTGGCATGTCTGTCAGGAGCTGAATGACCCTGTATTAAGAATTACACTATATGGACAAAAGTATTCGGCCACCTGACCGTTATACCAACAGGGACTGAAATGACATTGTATTCAAATACATATACTTTAATATGGAGTTGGATCCCCATTTGCAGCTATAACAGCTTCCACTCTTCTTGGAAGGCTTTCCACAAGATTTAGGAGGATTTCTGTGGGAATTTGGGCCCATTCATTCTGTAGAGCATTTATGAGTTCAGGCACTGATGTTGGATGAGAAGGCCTGGCTCGCAATCTCCGTTCCAGTTCATCCCAAAGGTGCTCCATGGGGTTGAGGTCAGGGCTCTGTGTGGGCCTGTCAAGTTCTTACACACCGAACTCATCAAACCATGTCTTTATGGACCTTGCTTTGTGCGCTGGGGCTCAGTCATGTTGGAACAGAAAAGGGCCTTCCGCAAACTGTTGCCACAAAGTTGGAAGCATAGTATTGTCCAAAATGTCTTAGTATGCTGAAGCATTACCATAACCCTTCACTGGAGATAAGGGCCCTAGCCCAAACCCTGAAAAACAGCCTCATACCATTATCCCTTCTCCACCAAACTTACAGTTGGCACAATGCAGTCAGGCAGGTAAAGTTCTCTCGGCATCCACCAAACCCAGACTCGACCATCTGACTGCCAAACAGAGAAGCGTTATTCATCACTCCACAGAACACGTTTCGACTGCTCCACAGTCCAGAGACGATGCGCTTTTCACCACTCCATCCGACACTTGGCATTGGACTTGGTGATGTAAGGCTTGCATGCAGCTGCTCGGGCCAGGGAAACCCATTCCATGAAGCTCCCGCCACACAGTTTGCTATTGTTCCTAAACTCTTCCACTTTCTAATAATATCACTTACAGTTGACTGTGGAATATCCAGCAGGGATGATTTCACGAACCGTCTTATTCCAAAGGTGGCATCCTATCACAGTACCACGCTTGAAGTCACTGAGCTCTTTAGAACGACCCATTTTGCATCAGAAATGTTTGCAAATGGAGACTGCATGGCTAGGTGCTTGACTTTATACACCTGTGGGTCTGATTGAAACACCTGAATTCAAGAATTAATAGGTGTGGCCATATAGTGTATTTTTTTACTATTTACAATAATTGTAAATACTTTACAGGCCTGGAATTAAGTCTTAAGGGCAAGGCCACATTGGCTTTGACTTCCAGCTCTGAAAAGTATTTGGCAGACTTCTGATTTTAGGCTGTTTTAATTGTCTTTAGCTTGACTCAAAGTAAAATTTGACAAAAAGTAATGTTACATCAACAGCAACTATTTATTTCTACTCTGTGGCAGCAAACACAACACACCGTCTCTGGTAACAAATATATTTGTGGGAGAAATTTCTACTGTTGATGTTCAGCGTGATGACTGACACTAGGAAATGTGACTTTTGACAGCTTTTATTTTAAGGGGACACCCAGCCAGTTCAATGCCAGGCACAACGCCAAGAGTGATAAGTAAATGATAGAACTTGAGCTAGATTGCATGTTTTTACACTCACTTTTTCAGGTTATTTTGCATCGATATAATTGTTGTTACAGTGTAGAGCTACGAAGGACTATTAGGGCCATACTAAGAAAAATAATTATTTTATTTTTTTGGAAATTACGAGAATAAAGTCATAATATTACGAGAATAAAGTCGTAATGTTACGAGAATAAAGTCGTAATAATACGAAAATAATGTAATAATAATACAAGAAAAAAAGTTGTTTTAAAGAGAAAAAAGCTTCGATAGAGTTATCAAGATTCGACGTGACCAGCTCAACCAATCAGCAGCCTTAGCCTGAGCCCAGCAGCCGCTGTTTGTCTCAGTCGTACCGTACAGTGAACAGGTAAGCTAACGTATTGATAATTTCGTCGTTAAACAGTTTTGCTGGCTGAGCCAACAGGCTGACAGTTCTCATAAAATTACTACTTTATTCTCTCAATATTATGACTTTATTCTCGTAATATTACGACTTTATTCTCGTAATGTTACTACTTTATTCTCGCAATATTACGACTTTATTCTCGTAATGTTACTACTTTATTCTCGCAATATTATGACATTATTCTCGTAATATTGTGACTTTATTCTCGTAATGTTACGACTTTATTCTCGTAGACCTAATATTATAACTTTATTCTCGTAATCCCCCCCAATTTTTTTTTTTCTCTTAGTTTGGCCCTAATACTCCGTCGTATAGAGCCCTGGTCCAATATGTTACTTCTACAAAAGTGATGTAAAAACTTAAAGCCACCAGTGCATATCCACTGAAAATGGACTTTACAGTAAAGTAGGGATCTTGTGTCCAGCAGGAACATTTTTGGTTCAGGAACACTGAACCACATTTGCATATTCATAGATTCTAGAATTTTTAATAAGCTGACGGAATAAAAATGTAAATGTGTAAATTATATTTTGTCTTAATACATGTCTGGCAGCGATCTTTAAGCACACTTTTCCACTTTGTCTGTATGTTGCTTGGCAACCATTGGGCTAAATGTTGCTGAATGTTGTTTGGCAGAAGAACAATCATTTGCTATCAATAAATGTTTTTATTTTTTGTTGCAGGTTTTGTGCTTTCATTGCCCACAGTCAGACGCTGGTTTGCTGCTGAGACTTGTTTTAGCTTTGACTTGTTCACAGAGTTGAGAGTGGTTAGCAAAGACAAAAGTTTTAGAACAGAACAAAGATATTACTCAATCAAACCTTTTGATTTCACACCGTGACCTGGCTTAAAAAGTTGTGGCACTTCTTAAAGAATTTAATTTGTTTCATTAGTCAAAAACCATCACCTTCATTGTACTGTTTAGGTAATTCTGTGGAGAAGTCATACAGGACAGTGTTCTACTATACAGACTACTATATAGAGCATAACAATAGTCAGACACAGTAAAGAGTGGACCATGTAAAGAATAAAGAATTTTGGATGCAGCTACATCATACTTCACTACATATTATGAAGACCTCACCTTTTTGATCTCCTCCTCGAAGGCCTTCTCCAGGTATTTGTATCTCCTGATGAGCTTGTTGAAAACCTGCAATCACAAAGTAGACAGTGACATAATTAGCCAAGTAACAACAACAATCAGTGTGTCAGAACTGATCCAGATCCTTCCTGTTGCTTGGCACAGTCAGTACAAAGGGGATTGTGGGCATACCTGAGCATATAGACGTAAAGCGGCATGGCTTTCCTCAGTCGTGAACACGCAGTATGCCGTCACCTTGGTCTTGTCGCCCTCATCAATACGGGTCCCCCCAGGAGCTGAGGGAAGAGGTTTAAAGTTGAAGCTAATTGAGGTCTTAAGCTGGCGAGCAAGCAGAACAGCGACAGAATTTTTAGTTTAGGTTACTATAAGCAAATACAATTACCTGCTTATCGTGTTTGTTCATTAGCGATTTACTCGCTATTAAACTGACAATGAACTCATATACTATGTACTTTTAAATATTTCTGTTATTCTCTCTTGTAATGTGGCTGTCGACACAAGAAGAAGAACAAAGAAATCTGTAGGCCTGCTGGCTGTCCTACTAAAGAAATCTATATATATATATATAGACAGCTACTTTACATTCAGTACATCTCATCTAAATTGCAAAAATCTCTCAAAAAAATAGCTGGAATGCTGCAGACTGCTAGTCCTAGACTTGCACCAAGACTCTGTTGCTTACATGGAAGTGAAAGAAACTGCTCCTTTGTGCCTGCAAGTCCTGGTCAAACCTACACTATACCAATGAACTTCTCTGCCTGTGGACAAATATCGCATATCTGATAAATCTCTTGCATCTCTGTTGTGGGCACATCTGTATCTGGCCGTGACTGTGAAGCAAATCAAATTGTTTGAGTCAAAAAAAAAGGAAATGCCAAGGATTCGTTGGAACTCCAGCTTCTCAGATTTGAATGGTCAGATATAACAAGCTATTTGCAGATGTCTACATGGGCACTGGGAAGAAGTGATAGTCAATTTTTACTATTTTCTGATCAAATCATCAATTAAAAATGTTTTGTCGGATTAGTCAATATTGAAGATAATTTCAGCTCCAGTCTATATATATGAGATCTTCTCAGAATCAAAGATAGATGGACAAACAGACCTTTGGCAGGTTCTGGCCATGCTGCCCTGCAACTGCCTGATTTCGGAGGCTAAGCAGGGTCGGGCCTAAATAGCACTTGACATGGCCAAGAGGTTGTCGGCTGAATCCCGGACGGGCAGGATAAATCTGCACTCAGAATAATGAATCATGGCATAGCTTAGATGCAAGTATTTGCATCTATTCGATTTTATTTAAATAATACATTTTTAAGAATTTATTTATTCAGATTCCTTAAAATCAACATAAATCTGTTAATTGCGAAACCAATGAAATTTAATCAGTTAAAACGTATGAATTTAGTTTAAATATGACGAGCTGTGGCTCAACCAAGATTGATTTAGTTAAAATTTATGAGATTGGTTTCCATTAGGTTTACGTAAAGATTTCAGTACATCCATGCTCCATACTCCAGTAGGTGGCGGTAATGCAACGGTTTGTCAACGGCCTTTGAAATTCAAATTCAGAGTCACTCACTGGAGAAGAAGAAGGACTTTTTCCCGCCGTCTGCACCAATACATCCATGGTCTAAGCTGCTGCTCACACCTTCTCTCAAGCAAGTTGAAGCAACTCCTTTATGTGTCTTGAGCTGACTGGTAAGTTACATGTGCATTTGTCTTAGTATAACCTGCCAGTTATCAGTGTTTGTACCTTATTAGTGCAATTCACATCATATCACAGTAATATAAATATATCGACTATCAAATTTAGCCTACATCATTGTAAACATTTTCGTGTAGTCTAGTAGCTTGCTAACTTCAACCTAGCTAGTGAGCTATTCCTGTTTAGCCAACATGGCTAATTTTAGTAATTAAAATGACTCATTAGTTCATTTAAAATGAGCGACTGACTTTTGTGCTTAATGATATATTCTCACAAGCATGTGGGCAGTTAATTAGCCCTGCACCACAGACTTCAGGTGACTCTCAGCCAAAGATGGCTCAAGGCAGCCACAGCGGACTTGACCACCTGCTTCATGTTCAGACAGTGTTGCTCCACTCACTAGCGCAACACGTCCGGTTGAATTTTAACGGTGCCGGTGGTCAGTCGGTGGGAAGGTTGCAGCGCGTGTGACTGTGCATGGTGGAGTATGTTGTTTTTATTAATTTTGCGCTAATGGATTAGAGCAGCCACACTGTTGTGTCATAACAAAGTCTTACTTTCAAGATATTAAAAACTACATGTGCAAATTATTCAGTGTTAATAAACGTTTGTTATTGGTTGTGAAATTCATTGTGTGGTCACTGGCTCACAATTTTAGAGCAGGTTAACATAATCCATTTTGAATAATGTAAAACAAATATGGGCAACTGTGACTATAAAAACTATTAAAATACTACTATACTATAAAAACTTTATATGATCAAAAACATAAGCTGATGTAGTCAGTAAATGCATACAATGTTGGTCTAATGGAGGACTACTGTTACTGAAAATATGTAAAAACTGATACTTTGTGATTTCATGAGCAAGGAAGGAGTTGTAGAATTGATTAAATGCATTTTGTTTCTAATTAGAACTTCTTGTCTTTTACAGGTACATAATTCTAAGAACCATCCTCTTACATCCAATCCAATCCACTTTATTTATATAACACGATTTTAACAAACACAAGGTTTCCAAAGTGCTGCACAAAAAGATTCAATGTTCAATTCATTGTTATTTGTATAGCGCCAATTCATAACAGCTTTTCAAATAGAGCAGGTTTACACCGAACTCCTTATAACATTATTTACAGAGACCCAACAGTACCACCATGAGCAAGACCTTGGAGACAAGGGCAAGGAAAAACTGCCTGTTAAAAGGCAGAAACCTAGGACAGATCCTTCGGCTCTAGGGGGGTGGTCGTCTGCCTCGACCAGTTGGGGTGAGAGAGAGAGAGAGAGAGAGAGAGAGAGAGAGAGAGAGAGAGAGACAGACAGACAGACAGACAGACAGGTGCACAGTCAAACAGGACCGTGGCAGGAGGCTCCACCAGGATCAATGAGAACCTGCAAGACGAGAAAAGCACAAGAACTCCGGGGAAGAAGTGAAGTTAGTAACATGCAGTAATGCGACATGAATGAGTGCAGAAAGAGAGAGGAAGAGAGTAACAGAGTAAACAGATAACACAATAGAAGCACAATAGAAAGATGAAGTAAACATTAGAAAAATAAAAGCAATAAAATAAATAAGTAAAATAAATAAAATGCGCTGCCCGCACACGATAAAATATGCATGTATACACATAAAATCAACGCTCTACATGGTGTCAAAGCCAAAGAAAAAAGGTGGGTTTTAAGAAGAGTTTTAAAATGAGACATTAGACAGAGGCCTGTCTAATGTGCAGGGGCAATCCATTCCAAAGTTTAGCGAATAAAATAATTTAAAAATGAATCCTAAAATGGACGGGCAGCCAGTGGAGTGCAGCTAAAATAGGTGAAATGTGGTCATACTTTCTTGAGCCAGTTAAGAGACGTGCAGCAGCATTTTGAACCAGTTGGAGACGAGCAATGGAGGACCCACTAGCCCCCATGTAAAGTGCGTTACAGTAATCCAGCCGAGTGGTCACAAAGGCGTGGATTACTGTCTCAAAGTGCTGTCTCTGAAGGACTGGTTTGAACTTTGCCAGCTGCCTTAACTGGAAAAAGCTAGACTTCACCACAGCTTTTATCTGGCTGTCAAATTTAAGGTCTGAGTCCACTTTTACCCCCAGATTTTTTACAATTGGCTTGCGATACTGTGCCAAAGAACCCAGATCAACGTGAGATCAATATTTCATGATCCACTGTGTCAAATGCAGCAGTTAAATCGAAAAGCACAAGGATAACACAGTCACCAGAGTCGTAGTAAAGATGTCATTAAAAACTCTTAAAGAGCTGAGTCTGTGCTGTGGGGTTTTAAAACCGGATTGGAAAACCCTAGAATATTATGTTCTTCCAGAAAGCCATTAATTGACTGTGCACAATCTTCCAGGATTTTTAAGGAAAGGCAGTTTGGAGATAGAATTGAGATTATTATTGAAATTAGCAAGAACTGCAGGATCTAGAGCAGGTTTTTTAATCAGAGGTTGTACTACTGCATGTTTAAAATTTTCAGGGACCACACCTGAGGACAGACTGCTATTAATGACTGCAATAGCAGATGGTCCTACAGTGGGGAAAACCTCCTTAAATAGTCGAGGGGGGACAGCATCATTTGGAGAACCTGAGGGCTTCAAATGACCAACAACCTCCTGTAAAAAGGAAAAAGTCACAGGCTCAAAATGGTCAAAGACAGCAGAGCAGGGGACAGAGATTGAGGGGTCATAAACTGAAGGTGAGATTTGAGCCCTAGTTGAAGTGACCTTATCAATAAAAAAGTGAAGGAAGTTTTCACACACAGCAGGGGACGCCTCCATACAGGCAGTCTGCGGGGCATCAGAAGTGAGCCAATAGTGTTAAACAAAACACGAGGCTTGTGACAGTTTGACAGGATAATATCTGAGAAATGTTTTCTTTTAGCATCTTTCACAGTTTTCTGATAATGACGCCAGCAGTCCCTTAACATTTGAAAAGACACCTGCAGTTTGTCCTTCTTCCACTTGCGCTCAGCTCTATGGCACTCACGTCTGACCGCATGAGTCGTGTCATTTAGCCAGGGCTCAGATTTAGTTTTAGGCTGCCTGGATTTTAATGGAGCCACAGTGTCTAAAACAGTTTGGCAGGTGGAGTGAAACCATGAGCTAAGCTCCTCTGTACTGCAAAAGAATCAATGAGTTTAGAAAACCTTTCCAAACAATAAGAACACGGTCATATTTAGGCATGATTTCAGCCAGGAAATCAGAGAAGTCATTTAAAAAGTCCTTATTGTACTTGGGAGGCCGACAGACCACAGCACACAACACTGTGAGAGTGACCAAGCTCAAATAAGCTCAATTCAAAGCTGGTGAAAGAGGATGACAGCAATAGCTGCTTACATTTATAATGACTCTTATGTGCTGCTAATTGGGCAAAGGCAAAACTAGTTCTTAGGGAGGAAACAGTGAAGGAGCTAAGGCAGCTTCTAAAGTTAATACCCATTATATTAAGTAAGCAACCAGCTGTCATGCACTAACTGCTGTGTATTATTATTAACGCTGTGAACTCTTACTTTAGGCTGAGAGTAAATCCTTTAACTCTAATTGGTTTAGCAGATAGTGAGCCACCCTGAATGGTGCCTGGCAGTCACAGAGAATGAACTAGTTTAAAGATTAAAGGACAGGATGGGAGAATGTGTGTGTGTTGAAAGAGAGACAGTCTACGGCATTCAAAGATCAGTTTAAGATCATATGGTTATAAAGGTTAAAATATATAATGACAGAGCTCTGACAGACTGTTGCCCCAGCGGCCCTTTGTATTTCCCCCTAATCTGATGGATTGTGTACACTTTCGTAGACATATACTGTATACATCGTATATATATATATATATATATATATATATATATATCGTAAACACAGTTTTAATGAATAGAGTGTGTGATTGTTTATTTTATGCACCACTGCACCAAGAAGAATTCCTCGTATGTGTAAAAACCCACCTAGCAATAAATCTGATTCTGATTCTGATACAGTACAGATAGATTTAATTTACACTCTCCAAGTAATTTAATTCAAAGAAGTTTCTTTAGTGCTAAGTTACTCTTTGAGAAATGTATGTCTTTCATACTTATATTGGTTTGTATCAGCCTGTACTGATATTCGATGCACATTGTTGCTGATATTGTTATTATATTATATATAATATATTATATTATCACAAAATTGGATGTCTTGAATTCTTGTGGAATAATTTATTATGCAACCCTTAAGCTCTCTAATCCTCTCCCTTAATTGAAAGACTTTATAGTAATATTAATGTGTAATACAAATTAGTGTTGATTGTTGAATCTCATTCCCAGGGGCGCAAATTATCTGTAATTCAGCTTTCAGCACATATTACAAAAAAATACTATTAATACTAAAAATACTACTGTAGCTTTCAAGGAAAGTACTGTCCCAACACAACAACACATGCAGTCATCCAGAGATAAGAGCCACTAGTGGTTATCTCAGCCAGTCTAAACAAACACAGTGACACTCACCAAGCATGCTCCCTGCAATGAGGATGTCAAACAGAGTGTCAGCATAGCGTCTGTAGTCCAGTCGCGACCCTGTGACATCTAGAAACTTGGCTACAGCATCCAGGTCACCGCCTGCTTCATTGAGGCCCGAAACAATCGTGTCTCGAAAAACAGTTGGTTCAAACTTCTCCTTTTCATCTAGGACAGAGAATCACATGATCAGTGCCAATCAGTGTCTTATAATAAATGCTCATATTTGCCAAAATCCATAGTATTTCAAATTCAAGTTGTTCTCCTTCCGTCAAGGCTACCATTGGTTTTCATTCATTTCAGACTGCATATCATTTTCAACAGTATAGTTGTCGGGTTATGCTTGAACAAAACCAGTTTTTAAGAGTTGGTCTGAAGAGCCACACTCAAAGATGGAGTGAAAAGCTGGCAGTGGGAGATGAGATATTATTTTCTGAAGCAGTCAGTTTTAAAAGCATATAGTGGCAACTTAACTCTGACAACAATATAAATGCAGATTGTTCAGATGAGATTTCAAATGAATCAATAATTTGTTAAGATCTTTAGGATTAAAATAAATGTACAACTACGTATAATCTGCATAAAAATGGTAAGAGATACTGTGACAGCCTATTATGTCACACAAATGTAACATATAAATAGAAAATAATATAGGCCTGAGGATGGACCCTTTGGGTACTCCACAAGATGTGGATGATAGAGGAGATATGGTTACCTAATCTTGCGAGGCAGCTGGAGCAAGATCATGAAATTATGAGATCACGCAAGAATGCACCTTGCCAGGCCTAAGACTACGCGTTTATGGTAAAAGTACAGCAGTACTGGACCAATTAGTATCCTATGAGGAATTACTGGCACATGATGCACACTGGTGCAAAAATACTTTTTTCCAGTCTGTGAAGCGGTGGATAATTTTCTTTTTCTGTTTTTGCAGACGTGAAATTTGATCCATTTGGTCTGATTTCATTTGGATGATTTAAATGGGGCCACTGACACAGTGGAGGTTCAAATGCAAAGAGCTTTAACTGGGATACATTTCGTTGGTCAAGTGGCAAAAAGCTGAACTCTTGGCTTGACAAAAAATCTTGGCCATCAAATACATGAAAGTGCACATACTGGCAGACTACTTTGTAATGTGAAAGTATTTCTACTGTTTAGATAACAACAAAAGAATTGTTAAGTCTCTGTAAATACGTTTATAAGGAGTACGGTCTAGACCTGCTCTACTTGCAAAGTGTGCTGAGATAAATGAGATAACTACAAAATAATAATTGAATTGAATCGATCAGACAAAATCACTGGGATAATTCTTTATTTTAAATGTTTTTGTCTGAAACTTGATGTTTCAGACACCTTTACTCACCAGCAACAATAGCTTGCCTAATAACCTGCGAGTTGTCACTGCGTCACCAAGCTTTGATGTGCAGTGATGTGCATTTGATGTGCAGATTAATTTCCATGTCACTTTCGGCTGTGACTAGGGTTTTACTCTTGGAGTTGAATGTGGACCTTTGAAAGGCGTTTCCTTGCCTGTAACCCAGTACATAATGGGGCAGACTCCAGCAGTGACCGTGGGATAAAACATTTTGGTTTAGTTTGGTAAGCATGGAAACTAGTTAATCAGTGCAATATCTTTGATTATGTTCTGACTCTGAAACAGTGGATACACTTCCAATCCACCAGCTATCTGCCAAAGTGGCTGTGACATTTTATGAGGACATGTCTATACAGTTTCTGTGCATGTGTGTGAAAAGGAGATCTCAAAGGGCGTGTGTAATAGCTAGTCAGTGAAACACTGCCCGACAAAAACAACTCGTTAACACCTTAGTGGACTGCACACCAGCTTGGCCGATGGGAGGGAGTGTTAATAGTCTCTGTCAGAACTTGGTGTGTGTGCATTACTGAATATGAGTGTGTTCAATTCAATTCAGTTAAGTTTTATTTGTATAGTAGTGCCAATTCATAACAAAAGTTATCTCAGGACACTTTTCAAAAAGAGCAGGTCTAGACTGTACTCCTTAAAAAAATTATTTACAGAGACCTAACAGTTGTTCACTGTGTGACTTGCATCAAATAATTTTGGAAAATTAAATCTTCTCATTGCGGTTTAGTATACGAATGTACCTAAAATATACCTAAAAGCTTCATTTGTACTCACCCCTTTTCCTGGTCTTAAACCTCTGGCCTGTGAGCACTGGCTTCTGCTGCTTACCGGTATTCATACAAGTCCTGAAACAACACAAACAGACAATCAATCTAACTTCTCTAAGACTAACAGATGAACACTGGCCATTTGGGTTAGGGGTACGGTTAGGGTTAGGTTTTGGCAATAATTATTACTTTGGAATATGCCTTTACTATGCCTGCACTATATAATTTTCACTCTGAAAATTATTCATGTACTGGGGTGGATACTGGGGTGGGGGTGGAGTTAAGAAAAAAATCATAAAAGTGGGATGAAAAAGGTGACAAACAAGATGTGCTAATCCTCTGAGCAAATAACTCTGAACCTGGTGCTTTTGGAGTTAATGTAATGCAGAGCTGAGAAAGATATCAAGACATTTTGGATTGAAAGCTTGAAGACAGTTGATTGTTGAGTCTCATTCCCAGGGTTTCAAAGCATCTGTATTTGACACCCTGGGAATGACACTCAGCAGTCAACTGTCTTTCTTGGCTCTGATTGGTTTTAAGTGGTGGTTTTATAATAGTATACAATTGTTATGTTAGTTTGTGTTGTGTGCGTGTATATGTGATGTTAAAACATGATTAGTGTGAGCTAATGTAGCTACGTGGCCCTGAAAAATACTGACTTGTAGTGATTCTCTAAAAAAATCATGGTTGCTCTGTGGTAAACCTATTTTAAATGATCGTAGAGTTCAGTTGTAGCAGGAGCCTAGGTCACTAGCTTGTGTGTGTAAACGTTATTTTTTTTTTCAATTTAACTCATTATCCATTCACAGGTTCACATTTGCTGGTGTGGTAAACATTTCTATGGTAATAGCTAGCTCTACCAATTAGATAAGCCACGTACTGTAGTACTTCTCCATGAGATTGCAAATAAAACATATTTTTCACTCTCTTGAATTGAACTGAATTGAATTAAAACAATGTTGATATCATATGGACTTGTGCCTTCTACATGAAAATATATCATCATTTCACAATGTCATAGCTCGTGGTATGGCTAGCTTGGATGGTTATGACCATCGACGCACATAAAGATGGACGACTTGACAGCTTTCCAAAAGTAAAGTCAAAACATCTAAATGGCCCTCTGGTGGTTGGTTGCAGTATAGGTCATAAAGCCCACTGTCTGCATGTTAGCAGATGGGACATGGGCAAAACTAAAAAACCTAAATACACGTCATATACATTTTTCCCAAAAATGGTTTCTGGCATTTTAGGTTGCTGTTATCATGCTAATGTATATTTAAGTATCATCCCAGTTGTATGGGCCGGACTTCAATACTGTGGTGCCAACCCCAATCACTACTGCGCAGTCACCAGCATAAGATGGCAGCAGCTGTATCCCGCATATTTTGGTTTCATTTTTGTACAGTGAAAGATAGTGGAGACGCAATGTTGATCTTTTGTATATCTTTTATATTTACATGGTTACAACATTATGGCTAATGACCAAAATCCTCCATTCAGAATATGAATGGGAGTTTTACTTTCAGAAATTCACCAGGAATGATAAAACTACAGAAATATAACACAAGTTGTAAACAGTCCAAATTAGCTATAGCACAATAGCTGCAATGAAACTCATTCATTCATACATGCATTCATGCATTCACACACATACAACCTCACAAACACTTGACCTCATTGTCAACTTTCAGCCTCCTAGGAAGAAAACTGTGGCCACTGAACACTAGACATAGCATCTTAAATCTCATAGCTATTTCACTGGCCTAACGAGTCTATTCCTGCCTTATGAACAGCTCTTCCTGAAAATAATTTTTTCAAAAAAGTTGAAGACTTACCAACAGTGAGTTCCTTGTGCTGCCTGTAAATGAGTTGGCCTGTGCTGACTGTGTGACTGTCGTTGTGCCTGCCAACCTTGTGCTCTGCTCTATATATAGTGGGCTCATCCCTGCAGTGTAAACCTGCCTCTTACTCTTAGTCCCGAGACACGTGTCATATTACTCAGAGTTTGTGTCTAGCTCATTATCTCTCCCTCCCTCCCTCTTTCTCTCTGTCATTCATGCATGCACACACGGTAAACCCATCCACCCAGTCCACTGTGCTCTGGTAGACAAGGAGCAGTGCTACCGGCTGGGTCACGGATTACAGCACTTTCTAATCCACAACATCAATCCCTGTTGTCTGGGTCTTGGTCAGCTCAGGAGCACACTGTGTGTGTATAATTCACTGTCATCACTTACCTGCTCTTGCACAACATATTTAGAGGAACAGGGCTGGAGCAACACCTGCCTCCACAGCTAAGTGTTGATTCCATCTGCCTCTTTTCTTTTTTTAAGCTGTATTATTCAGTGAGGTTTTCATTCACTGAGAGAAATGATCTCAAACATTTACACCCAGTACAACTGCAGTGTAATCTGTGAGCAGTTGGGAATAAAGGGCCATGATCAAGGGCACCTCACCTTCCTCACTGAGATTCAGTCCCTCTAGGATTTTATGGGTCCTTTATGGGATTGTTGCAGCCTAAAATGCCTGATGTTAAAAAAAATTGCAATGCATGGTATGTTTTTAGACATTTGTACAATTAAATTGCGTGAGAAAGTGAAACATTTTTTTTTATACAATTCATTAAAAATGAAAAGCAGTTTGTTTCAGTGAAAATAAAATCATCAGTAGTTTGGTGGCATATAGCTCAACCTTTTGCGTAGGGAACTGGTACAATTGGTGAAACTTGTGGTGAGGTCCCCCCATGATAGCAAAGTCATGACCCGCCCTACTCTGACTCTGACAAACCTAACCGTCACCTAACCTACAACTATGACAACAATCATACATTTAAATTTCTTAACGGACACGTATTGGATTGGTACGGAGCCCCTAAAGGGACATGGGGAAAAAAAATAAAAAATGAAACGTTTCTAGTGCGCACTAGATACTATCTTGTGCGCACTAGATCCCTATCTAGTACTATCTAGTGAGCACTAGATACATCAGTGTTGTGGCGAATCAACACATGGCTAATTTTAATATTCAAATGAGTATTAAACTAATTTGTCTGTAACTAAAAAATAAATGTAAATTAATCTGTAACCTCTTTTGTTACACTCATTTGTCCTCCTTTTGACAAAAAAAACAAAAACAGTTTTTGACACATTACCTTGTTAGTTTAATACTTATTGGCTTAAAATGTGTGTCAAAATAAGTAATTTCATTGATTACATTTTCGTGTTGTGACCTATCAACACATGGCTAATTTTAATATTCAAATGAGCCATGTGCTGATTGCCACAACACTCCATCCATATCTAGTGTGCACAAGATAGTATCTAGTGCGCACTAGAAACGATCTAGTGTGCACAAGATAGTATCTAGTCTGCACAAGATAGTATCTAGTGCGCACTAGAAAGGGGTTGACAAGTAGTATCTAGTGCGCACTAGTTTTTTTTTTTTTTTTTTTTTCATGTCCCTTTAGGGGCTCCGTAGATTGGTACTCTTTTTTTGGTTGATATGCAAAATTCAGATATTAGAATCAGTATTGGGAAGGAAAAAATGGCATTGCGTCATGTTTAATAAAAGATTTTAAGTGGAAAATTGACATGTATGATTCTAGTGAATAATTTCCAGTGAGAAACATGGTGCATTCCATTGAGCTAACAATCAGCTAAACCAGTGAACTTGTGGTGGTCTACAAAGCTCAAATATGGATGTTGCTGCAAAGAAGCTTTATATTCTCCCCTTCTGCTTAGATGGTGTTGAATAATGGCCAGAAAAAGTTTTTGCAATATCATGTCACCGTGAACTTGGATATAAAATGTCATCACTTGATTATTTTATCTGATGAGACATTTGTGTGAAATTTTGTCATTTGTTAGCGTATGAACTCCTTAGTTGTAGCCAAAACTTGTTTTGTGAGGTCACAGTGACAGTGACTACCAAATTCAAATCAGTTTAACCTTGAGTCCAACAGGACAATTTTGCCAGAATTGAAAAAATTCCCTCAAAGGACGGATGGCGACGGCTGCTGTGGTACAAAAGCGCTATGAAAACAGCACATCAGACTTGTCTTCTCTCAAGCACACAAAAGTAAAATATATGCCAATAAATGCATGCAAATCACCAACTGAACACAATCTCTTGAGCACTTCACTGTGAAATCCGAGGGCTGGTGGCATTTCTGTCACATATTAACATAGCAATAGCAAGTGTTTCAGTGTAGTAATGAGCTTTGCATAATTCATGTACATACTGTGATATGTACATCTCAGCCATGTGCTCTCTTAGATTCCAGTGTGTGTGTGTGTGTGTGTGTGTGTGTGTGTGTGTGTGTGTGTTTGGCTGTGTGGGGTTAGGGGTTCTGCACCTTGCTAAAAATAACCTTTCCATTATTAAGTTCTGGAAAGTAAATTGGGAGTCAGCCAGTGCATTATTCCAAGCTGTTTGTTAATGTCACAGTGAGTGTGTTTTCTCAAGAGCAAAATAAGTGGAAGGTGTCACTAACAGGATCTTGGACCTCTAAGATGCTGTTACAGACCTTTGGTTTTTATCTGTAAAATCTGTACTGGTCATTGGGTTAGGTCTGGGGGCCTACCCCAGCATGCATTGAGGCATAAGGCTATCAGGACCCAGGCATAACACAAATCCTCTTTGAATGAAGTTACAATGTTGTAAAATGAGTGTCTATGAAGTGTGGTCACAAGCATATCACAGCTGTTTTGTTTGGTGAATTTTATTTTGTTTCAGTTGAGTTTGAATTGTGTCTTACAATTATCGGGTAAAATTGGTTTTGTCTATGGAATTTGCCTCTGAACTGTAGTGAAATAGAAATGTAAAATAGACTAAAGTAAAGTACAAAACTGTACTAAAGCAGAGAAACTGAGTGTACTTAGTTACCAGTGGCTCCACCACTGCTGTCCCTAAAGAATTACCTCTAAAATCTTCCTCTGACTTAGTGCCTTATGTTGTATGTATGTGATTATTAATTATTGAAGACTGAACGCATTTACGCATCTGTTGAAACAAATGGACTTTATCAGGTAATGACATTAGAATAACAATACTAAAATGTATACTATCTCGGCAGTGACGACCTATACAGTAGCAATGGAAATAATGTTAGTTGCAGCTCGGCACACCTAAAGCTTCAGTAGGTAATTTATATAAAAATAACTTCTAATCATATTTGTTGAAACTTTCACTATATCCTGACAGTAATACATGATGTGAAATACCAATGCTTTGGGTTGGTGGCATCAACAATCTTTCTTGGCTCTGGTTGGTTGGTTTTATCAGGCATGGCGGATTAAAAGTTTCAACACTAATGACCACAAGTTATTTTTTTTACAAAAGTTACCTACTGCAGCTTTAAGGTAAGACGCACGGTGTAAATGTAAAGGCTAAACGACTTAGTACATGTAGCCTGTACCTGTGGATAGTAGTAGTTTGTGTATCCGGCTTTAGCGCACTTCCCTGTCCAAACTGTGTTGTCCAAATGGAGGAGCTTCAGTCTGCTGTACAGCAGGCAGGACGGACCTGACACCTCAGTGCGGGTTTGGACTCTATGAATAGATAATACATTAGTCAGAGGGACCATTCAGAACTGGACATCCTAATTTTGTATTTGAAAATCTCACTAGCTGAATCAAGTGGCATTTAGAATAATTACTACTCTTCATGTAAGCATTTTTACTCAGCTGTCAACAGGGGTCTCCCCCTTTGTTTACTATAGTGGTATGTTCCAGGGATGGCTCAACTGTCAGTAGTGCTGGTTGTATCCTCCTGTAGACTGTAACCATCAGCTGGACAGAACAGCAGTTTGTCCAGTTTACAATCATCCAGACCAGAACAGACCAGAGCTGATCAGAGAGGATGGCTTCACCTCAGAAAGGAGACCTGTCAGCATCTGAGAGGAAGATCCTGCAAGTTATTGCTGCTGGTGAGTAGTACTGGTCTGTTCTAAGATTATTTTGTTTTCTTCACTTTTTAAAATTATTTTTCTATATTGGGACAACTTTGTTTTTGCCAGTCACGTTGTATACATTTTATTCCATTTAAAATGCCATGTAAACGTTTAGGCACTCACTCAAGATAATTTTGTAGCACAAGATTTTGTTCAGAGCTTGACAGACTGATTTGTATTTCAATCAATATTTACCATGTGGTTTTAATAATAGTACTGGGTGTAATTATTGTATGTCTGCAATGCATCAGCAATACATGAGAAACAACACAGAGACATTTGGAGGCCACTGCAACATTTTAGAGGTTAAATCATAGTAATTGTACATTATGGGTATGTAATTTCTGAAACCTATGTAATTTGGCAGAAATTATAAGTAAAATAAAGACATTGTGTTCAATTCATAATACATTCAGCTAATAATGTCAATATAACCTGCTTTATTATTTCATTGACAAAAGTTAGCACAATGAGAGAATTGAGTCTGTCCATTGGTTTCACACCGTTTACAGTTAATCTGCCAATCTACAGTACTGTTGACAGTTATGGACAGTTATTATCTTTTTAGATGAGGATCCCTGAGATTACATGATATCAAATTGATTTATCAAATTGGCTGGTTTGTACACTGTAAATAATATTGAGCTCAACTTAAACATAGAAGTTCATTTGCTGCCTTACAAATGTGAGTGAAAAGAACTTAGGTTGAACAATTAGTTTAAATTCCTATTTGAGTTGTAAAACAAATTAAGTTAACTTGAGAACATATGTTCAATAAGCTTATATATTAATAGATATTAAGTTGAACCAACAACTGTTTGGTCACACTGACAAACATTACAAACAAATTTGATTTCCTTTCACATTTTTGATGAATCAGTTCTTCACTTGACACAGAACTTGGAGCTTTGGTCCAGCGTTGACAATTTGTGAAACTGCTCCCAGTGAGGTTAAGTGTAAGGGGGTAGGTACTGAATTCATTAATCATCAGTTCAATTCAATTCAATTTTATTTGTATAGCGCCAATTCATAACAGAAGTTATCTCAGGACACTTTTCAAATAGAGCAGGTCTAGACCGAACTCCTTATAACATTATTTACAGAGACCCAACAGTACCACCATGAGCAAGCACTTGGCGACAAGGGCAAGGAAAAATTATGACGATGATGATAACAGCCAGAATAACGATGATAAATAATAAATAATATTGATGATGATATTAATATGACTAATAATTGTAATATCAGTAATATTAGCAATGGCAATCTAGCAGGACCATGGCAGGAGGCTCCACCAGGATCGATAAGAACCTGCGAGACGAGAAAGCACAAGAATTCGGGGAAGAATCAATCATCAATGGTCACAATGTTTTTATTACTGTAAAAACAAACAACCATGACTTATTTTTAAATGTCTTAGATACAAACAGCAAGTTTACATCATATATGCTTTCTTCTATAAAAAAGAAGAACCTCAGGATTGTGTTTATTTAGAAACTTAATTTAATGAATTGATTGAACTCAGTACAAACAACTCAGTACAGTACAGTCATTCAACTCATCATTTTAAGTGAAAAGACTTCAAGTTAGAAGAACTCATGTTTGTAAGTTCTGAAGTGGTCTGGAAGTAAAAAACTAGAAATATTAAGTTCAGCTTGAAAAAATAAAACATATACATTTATGTTAAGTTAATGACAAAAGTTATGCTGATTCCACTAAATTCCTGTATTCATTTTTACAGACACCAAAAAGGTTGAGAACCACTGACCTATAGAATCTTTTATACATTATGTGAAATTTGTCTAAATGCATCATACTGTTCAACTTATATGAAGAGTTCCTTACATTTAAATGTTTAAATGTCTTTCATCTTTCATTTCACAACTCAGGCTATAGGGCTTGAATTCAAAAATCATTACATTGTGGTTTCAATCCTCTATTATTTCTTATTATTTCTTACTTATGCTTTTGGTCTGCAGGGGATGTACAGGAGGCTGCCCAGCTGCTTGCTAGCAACGAAGTACGAGTCAACTGTTTGGATGAGGTATGGAAATAGAAGAATAGTATTTTATGAACAGTAATTTACATTTGCATGCCTTTAAAATTAAAAAAAGCAAGTAATTGTACCGTATGTTAATATTTCTATTATACTGTTTCCAAGGTCAAGAATGAACTTTGAGGCTAAACTTATTGATGTTTTTAGTTAAAAGATTTGTATATACTCAAACAGACATTTAAAGGAACAGTCCCTACCCTTTTTGGTAGAGTCAGTAGAGATTATTTCTAACCATACTGATTTCTAAAGCTTTTCTTAACTGTGACCCTATTTCACATCCCAGAATCTTCACTCCCAGCAAGTGTCCTGTAAATCTACAAATTTACATTTGTATGTGGTGTTCAAGAACAAAATTTCCTGTATAGAAATTATGAAAATATTTTTTTGAAGCTCAGAAGCAAATCACAGGAGGTTCATGTTGCAAAAGTGTTTTACAAAATGTTGGCTTTGCTCCCCCAACTCGCCACTTCCTCCACCCATAATGCATGCAATGTTATGTCACTGTAACATATGTTATCCTTTGTGGTGGAGACATATGGAAACGACTCTTGAGAGGCAGACGCAGCCCTAGAAGGGTGTTTGATAATAGCATCGCGCCACTACATGTAGCTCACAGACTCCTTCACACTGCCTGTCTGTCAGAATCAGGTGTTGTGACAGAGCTTCTGCCCACGCAGTAACCTTTACCCACAACACAGACATGTTACAAGACATGTTAGAGGAGTCTTGTCTGTGTGTGATGTAAGGCTTTAAAATGTGCTTGTGTGTGCAGGATTATGTCATTAGAGGAGTCACTGTTGTTGCACAATATTCTTCAAATACAGTCAAATAAAGGATTTCAAGTCAAATTTTAACCAGATTTTGCACAGAGAAAAACCAAATTAGATCAAGTCAGTTTTTTTGCACTGCGAACTCAGTGTGAACAGCTGCATCAGAATTTATGTGACTTTTATGTCACTCTAGATCAACATTCATCATGCGGCGTCATATAACAAAAATACATTTGTTTTTGAGCCCTAAGGCTTGCAGTGTGAACGTAGCCTAAGTAGCTTTAGTTAACCAAACTAGATTTCCCTCTAGCTTTGCTGTAGTTCAACTTCTTCCAGTGTGAAGTAATTGGTAGCTTGCAAAGCAACTTCCCCAGCACTGTTTGTATTTCACTTTAGTCTGATAATTCTAAGCTAATTTATACCTCTACTCCATTATACTTCAAAGAAAAATACTATTTGACAGCTAAAGGTTCTTTTTAAAATAAGATTTAACACAAACCACAAGATCAGTTCATAAAATATGATACATTGTTACAGATTAAACTACCAACATTATATAAAGTAGCTAAAATTAACTTCTATGACCAGCTACCTAGCTAACTAGACAATTCTCCTTACATGTTAATGCATCAGTGAAGATAATCAAATAATATAACTTGGACAGGAGCCACTGGGCATAATGAGAACTTTTGCTTGTGATATATTGTACAATTACATGCTCATGACACTTGTGCACATTTCTTGAGGTATAAGAAAGATTTTAAAGCTTCATTGATGATTCATTGAAATTATTTTTGGGATTGTTGAAGCCCATAATGCCAGATTTTGCTGCAGCTTTTCTTAAACAAAAGTGATGCATGTTGCAATGTTTTGTGGCATTTTGGAAAAATAGTAGCATTTTTTCCCCCGTAATTCAGAAAAAATCAAAGGCAAATTGTTCCAGTCAGAACAAATTTGCTAGTAGCTTGTTTTTTTTTGTCTGGAGTTAGTTGAGAGTAACGACAAAACTGAAATGTAACTTAAAGTGACTATTCACCAAAGGGAGATAAACACCACTCCAAATTGATGATGTTGCTCTGTGTTTGTTGGATATGTAAATAACACGTTAGCCATATCAACTTTATAAGGTGATAATAACATGTTAATGTTCTGTTTTCATCTCGCTGCCCAACCTGCAAGTGGTCAACAAATCAGTTAATGCTGCTTTGATTAAATACCTGGCTTACTCTAGGTTTATTACCTCCTGTAACAGTGTCTCTCTCTGTTGTTTCTGAAGTATGGCATGACTCCACTGATGCATGCAGCCTATAAGGGCAAGGCAGATATGTGTCATCTGCTGCTTCAGCATGGGGCCGATGTCAACTGCAACCAGCATGAATACGGATACACTGCTCTCATGTTTGCTGGCCTGTCAGGTATAACTATGGATGTCTCTCAATTTTGCAGCATTGACTGTAAGAATCACTTGAAGTTTTTATGAATTTAACGTTATGAGTTTAGCTGGACTACAACACTAACCCTCTAGTTTAGATAAATAATATGTTGGTGAAGTGTAGATTATCTCTAAATATCAAACCTCCTCCTCCAGGGAAGACAGACATCACTTCCATGATGCTGGACGCAGGAGCAGAGACAGATCTAGTGAACTCTGTGGGTCGCACTGCTGCTCAGATGGCAGCATTTGTAGGTGAGACAGGCAGTAAGACTGTAGTGCAAGTTAACTGGTGACTGTGAGGAGGCTTACATCTCAACCTGTGCCTACTCCCTCCAGGTCAGCATGACTGTGTAACAGTGATCAATAACTTCTTCTCACGGGCGAGGCTTGAGTACTACACCAGACCACAGGGGCTGGAGAGGGAGCCCAAGTTGCCCCCCAGGCTGGCAGGACCCCTGCACAAGATCATCATGACCACCAACCTTAACCCGGTCAAGGTGAGGCCTTCCACTGAGCCGAAACATGCCCACCTACTCACAGGTTCACAAGCATGTGATTTTAGAAATATATTTACAATTTTATTTTTATTCTGTCCGGACTGTACTGTACACCATGTAACTATAATTCAATTAAATTCAATTCAATTCCATTTTATTTGTATAGTGGCAGTTCATAACAAAAGTTATCTCAGGACACTTTTCAAATAGAGCAGATCTAGACCATACATACAATTATTTACAGAGACCCAACAGTTCCCACCATGAGCAAGCACTTGGCAACAGAGCATTCATACACCAATGGCACAGCATTGAGAGGAATTAGGGGTTCAGTATCTTGCTCAAGGACACTTGAACATGCAGCAAGAGGAGCCAGGGATCGAACTGCCACCCTTCTGATTAGTAGACGTCTTGTTCTACCTCCTGAGCCACAGCCACCCCTATTACACAAAAAAAAGCACTGACAGAGGGAACTGATGAGGCTCTTGGCAATCTCTTATTTGACATCTACTGGGCTATTTTCCAAATGGCGACGGATTAGTGTCTGGTTTCTTTCACTGCCGGCCTCAGTGTAAGCAATGCAGTGTTAACGGCACTTAAGCTATAAATAACAAAGTGTGATATGGACTTATAACTTATGGATATACTGTACATACTCTCTCCTCTCTGTCTCAATCAATTGCAGTATATCTGACCTCAGAACAGCTCTGCCCAAAAGTGTTTGTCTAACCAACTCTCCCATCTGTCAGATAGTCATGCTGGTGAAGGAGAACCCTGTGCTGGTGGATGTGGCGGCCCTGGAGAAGTGTTACCAGGTGATGGACTTGCTATGTGAGCAGTGTGTGAAGCAACAAGACATGAACGAGGTTCTGGCCATGAAGATGCACTACATCAGCTGTGTGCTGCAGAAATGCTTGGCCTTCCTACAAAAACGAGACGACAAGCTGGACGCACTTGTCAAGAGGTGAGGCTTCTGCGAGGAATAAGTCTCATCACTCATCACTCCCAGCACTCATTTTATAGTTGGTTACTAGGGATTGTAGAGTTAGAGTTATAGCATTGTGTCTCATCCAAATATTTATAAATATAGGGAAAATATAGACCGATTTGTATTCCTCAGCTACCCCGTCCATGTCTCAAAGTGTCCTTGAGCATGACACCAAACCCCAAGTTTTTCCCATTCAGCCTGTTGCGCCAGCTGTGCGTATGTTCAAACTTAGCCTAGTTACAACATACATTATTACTAAGTTGCATTACTAAAATAAAAGTAGTTCTCTCTAAGTACTCTAAGTAACAACTACATTTTTACACATGCCCCTATAGTAGTGTAAATCATAAAATGTCACAGAATTAGACTCACTGATGGTAAAAGAGCAGCTGCCTCACAACATCATTTTTTCATTAATTGCAGCCATTTTATTACACAGTAATTGAGTAGAGACCTAATTTATTGATATATTTCAATATCAAAACTACTATGATGTGCTACAATGCCAAGTGGCTCATGCATGCCAGAACACTAATGTGCACGGTAACCATGATGATTCACCCTTTCACACATATTCACTCAGTGATGAACTAACTCATTCATACACATTCACACACCAATGCACGGCATCAGTATCTTACTCAAGGATACTTCGACATGTGCCACCAGGAGCCGGGGATTGAACCCACAACCTTCCGATTAAGGAACAACCCGCTCTGCCTCTGAGCCACAGCCGTGGTGGAGTCTCAAATGTCGACTTATCTTAGGAAAGAACTCACACATAGCTAGTCCAACCCAGCGCAGGGGCCCACCAATTTCCATCTATACAAATGCTGTGTTCTGACAACAAAGTCTGTAGGCTTGATTCTATTGGGGCGCTCCAGAGATTTTACTCATCAAGCTGACCTGGTAGAAATGGCATCCCATGTACCATGGCGGAGTCATTGCTGCAGCAGCCATCGGTTCGACTCTGACCTGTGGCCCTTTGCTGTTCGTCATCCCCTCTCTCTGCCCTTTCCTGTCACTCTGCAGCCATAACTATCACATATAAAGCAATCCAGTCTTTTTCTTGTTAAGATACTATTGATATTTATGGCTTTTATTTTGGAAAAAAATAGCCTCATCCTGAGTTTCTTTTTAACATGCAGTGGCTGTTACAAGCTTTTATTTTTAAAATCAAGGCTCATCCTGTCTTTCCTGTTATGATAGGGTTACCATCTTGGGCTTTTATGAATAATATTCATATAAATGTTGTGTTTTTTCTGTTGTCCGTGACCTGCCGTGACGCTGCTGGGGCCCAGTCTGTTGAAGGGCAGAGACAGTGATGGCTTCCCACAGTACCAGGAGAAGTTCATTCGTGATTGCATCAGGAAGTTTCCTTATTGTGAGGCCACACTGCTTCAGCAGCTGGTGAGGAGCATTGCACCGGTAGAGATTGTAAGTGAAGCAGAGAGTTGAAGTTTAGTATATAAAATATCATTTTGGCCTTTGTTTTTAAAGAGGATATTAGAACAGTTGGTAGTAGTAGTAGCTGATTACAGAGGATGTTATAGGTTTTTAATCACTGCTGTTGATATGACCTTAACACACTGTTGCATCTCGTTTTCAGGGCAACGACCCAACAGCGTTCTCCGTGTTGACCCAGGCCCTGACTGGTCAGATGGCGTTTGTAGATGCTGACTACTGTGCTACATGTGGGGAGAAGGGAGCAGACAAGAGGTGCTCCCTCTGTAAAGCAGTAGGTCAAAGTCTGTTAACAGCCACCTTCTGTAATATGGTTCAATCATGTCATCAAATCTCCACGTTGAACTACCTCCAGGTCATGTTCTCTTTTATTTATCTTTAAGGTGACTTACTGCAGCTTGACATGCCAAAAGCTCCACTGGTTCACTCATAAAAGGATGTGCAGGTCTATGCAGGAACAGGATGCTGATCTGGATAAAGACACTCCAAGGTTCAAAGAATTGAAAGGTGCTCATCTTTTATCTGTGCTCTACAGTTGATGTACCGCACACCTGTGGATCACAGAGTATGTCATGCAGACATATTGTTTTTAGATGCCTGTGGGTTACCACCTTCCTCCCATTCTCCCTGCATTGTCATTATGGATCCTGTTGCCTGTCAGGCACATGGCAGACTTATATTTTGTTCAAAGGGAAACACCACCAATTTTACATATCAAAGTGTACATGTGGATGAAGTTGTAGAAAACCTTTAGTGTTTAGAGGGAGTGAAGTAATTTGATCAGTTAAAGATTACATGTTAGAAAATGTAGAAAAGGTTGCTTGGGCCTTACTGGTTGGTAATCCTGCTGAACTCATTTATAGTTCACTTTTGTATTTCACCAATTGATGGCACCACTGCAAAAGTAGATGGATGTGTTTTATAATATTAGGCCATATCTTGTTTTACTTACATGCCCCATTTTAAAGCAGCAGCAGGTAAATTGTATGAAAATAACTTTTTGTCATTATTGCTGAAATTTTCACTATACTGTGACAGTAGTATGTGAGACAGATACTCTGTGAAAAAGGTTCCTCTGGCTCCTCCTAGTGCTCCAAGAAAGATAGGTGATTGATCTTCAAGCTGCCAACCCAAAGAGTCATCATATTTTTCTTGGCTCTGATTGGTTGTTTTTGTTCAGGCCCGGTGGATTCTTGCAAATGCCATTAGGAGCACTAGGAGGAGCCAGAAGAACCTGATTTTTTCACAGATTATTTGTCTTGTGTATTACCATCAGGATATAGAGAAGTTTCAACAAATATGACATACTTTTTTTTTAATTAAAATTACCTACTGCAGCTTTCAGGCTGTCAGGCTACTGTGTGAGATTAGTGTGCCCTCTTGTGTTAAATAAACATAATGACTGCTCCCTGTTAGATGATGAAAGTGACCTGGTGATGGAGACGGCCAACTTCCTACAGGAGCTGTGTCTGCGGGCAGAGGAGAAGGTGGCCGCTGCTGGAGGCTGCCCCGCAGAGCTGCTGGCTTGTCCCTCCACCTCTGCCGAGGCACCACCCTTCACCCAAGACTGAGGAGGAATAGCTGACTAAGGATGTTGAGCTTTTTGTGAATCCTCACAAAAGTTACATATGGAGAGGCGTGGCTGAACAGAGGCCACGTCAACGCGGTTAATCCTGTTTGCATATTTCACACCTACCCTTGTAGTTTTAGATAATCAGTGATACAGAAGCCTCTCAAGGTAACTTATCATACTGGCAGCTAATTATTAAAGTGCCCTATGTTTAAGTGTGTAACTCTATTTCTGTATGTATATTTTCTTCACGTTCTATCAAGTTTTTAGCAGGATACCTCAAAACATTGGTAATGATTTTGCATGCAGACCTGGGGAATGCTGGTCAAAACAAGAGATTAATATGAATATACTCAGCTGACGTTAGACTGGGGTCCTTTGTTGTCGTTCCCTTCTTCATTTCCTGTGAATTACTATGACTGTCGTTATCTGATAAGGGCATAAAAAAATAATGAATACAAGAGGTGTTGTTCATATATACTATCCTATTGCCACATAAGACCAGTGATATTGAACGATTCTTCAAAACTCAGATCAATGACGACATTTATCAGCGATCAACTTTTGTTGTGAATGTTATGGAACTGGTGTTTCGTGACTGTTAAGTTGCCTTGGTGATAACTTTATCTCTACTGGGGAGAATGGATGATTTTGCACTGTTAACAGACGGGTAACAGTGTTAAAGCTGCAGTAGGTAACTTTTATATAAATAACTCTTAGTCATATTTGCTGAAATTTTCAGTGTTCTGACAGTAGTACATAAGACAGATAATCTGCGACACAATCTGGTTCCTCTGGCTCCTCCTAGTGCTCCTAATGGCATTTGCAAGAATCCACCAGGCCCAGAAGAAAACAACCAATCAGAGCCAAGAAAGATAGAAAGAAGCTTTGGATTGGAAGCTTGAAGATTGTTTATTGTTGAGTCTCATTCTCAGAGTATTTGGTATTTGCCACCCTGGGACTAAGCCTCAACAATCAACTATCTTTCTTGGCTCAAAATGATCGTTTTTGTTCAGGTCCGGTGGATTCTTGCAAATGCCATTAGGAGCACTAGGAGGAGCCAGAGGAATCTGATTTTGTCACAGGTTATCTGTCTCATGTACTACTATCAGGATATAGTGAAAGTGTCAGCAGTTATGACAAAGAAGTATTTTTATAAAAATGACCTACAGCAGCTTTAAATAAATGTAAATGTGTTGCACCACAGAAACACCAGGGAGGCCTAGTACAGTCAGGTGGGACAGCTGCTCTGGGCCATCAGGGGCCTCAAATCCATAGTTCTCAGAGCCAGTAACGGGCTGGTTCCTGATCTGTAGGTTAAAGGCTGCAACTTGTGAGTGCCATTTTCAGTCCAGTGCATAGTGATAACCTCTAGTCAAATCAAATTTTCTTTTGTGCATCCTTTATTTCCATTATTGTCAAAGATTGTACACCAGTTTGACTCTACGTGCAACATATGTCAGGTTGTGTACTGCAGTGTACATTGTTGTTTTTAGGTGTCCCTATACTGCGTCCCTGCATATATCATGAAGTAGTCCAGTCTTTAGTCTGGTTAGAATATAAAGCTGCATGTTGTTTGTTGTAGCCAGTCACATCAAAGAAAAACACACATTTCAGTTCTGTATGTAGGAGCTGACTCAGCTTTATACAAATGCAGTTTGTAATTGTATTCATGAAAAAAACATAAATACTTGACTGTTTCCTGCAGTTTCCTGAACCAAACTGTAAAACTACAGTTGTGTCATGGATGCAGTATTTCATAATGTAAACATAACTGTGCTCTTTGTGCGGGCTGTATTTAACAAAGTGATGCGTATTTTATCTTTTTAGATAAATGTTTTTTGGTTGTCATCTGCCTTATCTTTTTAAATTAATAAAGTTTGTCTTCATCAGAGGGACCGGGTAAAGTTATTTTTACAGCTACAATGACATGCAGATATTCATAATACAGGCAACAAGTCATTATACTGTTAGGCCTTCAAAAGGCAATCACAAGACAAAGCAAAGGTTGCTAATTAAAGCTGCAGGTAGTAATTTTTTTCAAAATAAAAAGAAGCTTTTGTTCACATTCATAAACTGTGTGCTTTTTTGTCATTAAAAGAAAGAACTGGTTCCTGACAATAATAGAGAACCAAACGATTGAAACATCAGCCCATCGTGTACACAGAGATAAGGGTTTAGAAGGATTTCCTGCTCTGAGAGTGACATCCAAAACAAACGTAAGACAATATTGGAAATATTTTGTAAGAGAAATTATTCCAGTGAGAACGGTATATGATAGTGGACCCATGCAGCTCTCAATGGTTCAAGGGATCCATTTGGGACCATATCCACAGTTCTTTGTAAAGATTTCTTGGATTAAAACATCTGAGTTTGGTAGTCTTGTCAAGATGAGCTTTTTGTTTCCATTGTTTCTTTTCCATCTCGTTTTCTTTTCAAGTCTGGGAGGAACAAATCAAACATGGCCTGGGCCTCCTGGACATGAGCAGCTCTGCCAGGGACAAACCTGTGGTATAGTGTGGAGTGATTCTGTAATTAAACAGGAATCTCAACATTTTAGTTTCCCAGCTCTCCTTTCCTCCTTGCATCCTCTTCATCCCCTCCTTAAAGGTCTGAACTGCTCTTTCGGCCAACCCATTTGATGAAGGATGGAAAGGGGCTGAAGTCACATGTTTTATTCAATTTTTAGACATGAAATCTGCAAACTCAGCACTTGTAAAGCAGGTAGCATTATCACTCACCAACATTTTTGGTAATCCATGGATTGATGAAGCTTTGTCTGAGTTTCTCAAGGGTTACATAAGTGGTTGCTGTTTTTAGTGAATATACATCCATCCACTTAGAATGTGACTTAACCAGCACCAAAAACATTTTGCCTAAAAAGGGACCTGCATAATCCACATGAAGTCGAGTCCATGGCTTCTCCAGCCATTCCCATGGCTTGCTGTGCCATTGACAAGCTTCACACTGGTGTACTTCATTTTCTACATCCTGATCCATCCGAGGCCACCAAACATATGACCTTTCATCCTAGACATTCCTGGATGGGACTGATGCTGCATTTTTCTTAATAATGACTCGAGCACCCCACAGCATACATCCATCTCGAACACTTAATTCTAAGTGTCGGTAAAGTAATGCATGAATTGAGGCTCTACTGCCATCCTTTTAACACAAACCCATGTACAAGCGACTGTGTTACATCTTTGGCTGTCCGTCGTCTTACTTGTTCTGTGGTTACAGGTGCATCATCCATCACATCCAGCATCAGTACTAGCTCCTCCTCCCCTCCGTCCGCAGGGCATGCCTCTGGCAAGGGAAGCCTACTGAGGGCATCTGCATTTGCATTTAGTTTTCCTGGCCTGTACACTATACGATACACATAAGCTCTGAGCCAGACAGCCCACCGCTGAAGCCGTGGTGAAACCATCTGAGGTACAGGTTTGGTTTCATTGAACAGTGAAATCAGGGGCTTGTGATCCGTTACAATTGTAAAGTTCCTGCCATAGAGGTATTTTTGGAACCTTTTTATACCAAAAATCACAGCCAAACCTTCTTTTCCGCTGCGACTCTCCCCTGTAGTCGACAAATTGGTTTTTGCCATTGTATTCTGTGGACGGCTCCGTGGTGGGCATCACATGCTAATATTAAATCTTTGTCTATGTGACCACTTGTGACTTTGACTTTAAGAAGCTCATGCGACTCTCCCACCCGCTAATTAACAGATAGTGTGGTGGGCAATGTGGAAGATTGGGAAGGAAGAATTATAATAATAGTGAGTAGCTAGTGTTTAGCGACAGTGGTGTGGGGCACAACAACAGTTTACCTTGTTTTCACAATGTGGCGGGCGTATTTCTTGTGGCTTGTCCCATATTTTGATATTACTCCACTATACAACACTAGATTAGGTCATTTTTAAATGTTCCTCCTTACAGTAATGTCCCATATTTTGATATTACTCCACTTACAACACTAGATGGCAGCTTTCTCCTTCTCTTGTGTTTAGAGTGAATCTAAATTTGAGGTTTAACTTTATTAGGAGCATCAAGATTAATGTTAATTGTTAGACTTTTTTATTGGGTGAAAAAGATTATTTTATGTTATATTCAAGTCTTATTTATTTAGTTTAAAAAATGTGTTTAAATCTCCAGTGTGTGACTTGGAACGTACAGGAAACTTATAGTAACATTCATCAGCAAAGTACTTGGAACAATGTTGCTACAGAGCCTGGTGGGAAACGACCAAAACAGCTAATTATGAACAATCATTTTTTTAGTTGAACAACAGACAGGAGGTATTTTTATATGGGGGCCCTGCATAAATATAGTATTTAGTGTGTGATGAGGTAATGGTGATTGTTTCTGCTTTTACTTACATTAAGACATGAATGATATCTCTGTGATGATGAGGTTTGCCAGTAAGGAGTTATCAGAATATGTGGGGGATAGTCATAACCAAGTAGATGGTTGCAATGGAAGTCCTATGTGACTATTACTATTGCAGATGTGAATAGCAATACTGAAATACTTGCCCTGGTTATCCCTATTATTTTGATATAACAGTGATAATTATATTTACCTTGTATATTGTTGTTATAATGGTGTGCAACACGATAATACAAATTCTTACCCTATGTATAACATATTCATTTATTTATCTTTATAACTGAATTAGTTTATTTTATTACTTATTGTTGTGTTGTGTTATTTGTTTTATTGTTACTGTGTCTGTCTCTGATATCTTTGTTCTGTAGGTTGTTGTCTTTTGAAAAGCAATAACAAGTGAATTATAAAAAAAAGGTCCAGTGTGTAACATTTAGGAGAATCTATTGTCAGACATTTAATATTATATTCATAGGTATGGTTTCATTAGTGTATTATCACAAGAAAATAAGAATTGTTTAGCTTTTGTTACTTAAGATCGAGCTTCCTACTTACAGTAATCTCTAGTATTCTGCTACTCCGTCTCTTGTGTTTAGGCTGAATCTTAATTTGAGTTTTTTTTTTTTTTTTTTACTATTATTTAACCTTACAGGGATTGGTTTGTGGCCACTGACTAGTTTTAAATATATTAGTTTATTACTTAAACTTTAGTTCATAAATGACTGTGTGGCAGCTTGAAGCCAGATCTTTAAAGTGATGACAAAAGGGTTACAAGGATAAAGAAGAAGCTTCTCCTCAGCCTCACTTTCTCACACATGATGAACATCCTTTGGCTATGTGTTATATTTCTATAGAGCTCCGGCTCCCTGGCCGCATTGTTCTTCATTTTCCACAGCTCTTCTCCCATGGGAGCTAACTGACCCCTGTCACTGCGTTCGTAGGCATAAGCAGCAAGCATGGCTATCACGTTGATTGTCAATAGAGTCACAACTCAAGCCCCGTCCTCCTGTTTCCACCCTATTATCCCCTCTCCCCTTAACTGCGTGTCACACTCACTCTTGACTGTAGCGGTGCATAAAAGCTCGATCTCAAATTTCCGGTTTCTGAGATGTAAAAATTAGCAAATGCTCTCTCGGATCAAATAACTTCTTTCAAGCCCCCCCGGGCTCTTTTTTTTCTCAGCCTCATCCATACCTCTATCTCGATGATGTGATGTGACAAACACAGCTTTTTGGGGTAATTGGAGATCATTTTGAGAGCAAAAGGGGAAAAAAACAGTCCCTACCTCTGTGTATAATGGCATGAGCTGGACAGTTTTGGAGTGGATTTATTTTCAGTGGTATCAAAGGGAAGACAAGGAGAACTGGAGTAAAGTCATTGTCAGAGAGCCCTGGGAAAGGCTTGTAAGAGGACACCTTGGGTCTTAACGGCAAGGTTTCGGCCGGATGAAGGAGAGGAGGCTTTGTCTGGCTACTGTACGATTTGGATAATGGACATACATATACATCATGATGGTGAGCTCATCCACACAGCTTTGGCTGGACAGGGTTCAGTGAAGAACTTCATTTCCAACGCAAAACTTTTATCCAGATCATGACACTGAACTCTGATCCAAGTCTGAACCTACTGTGATGTCCCCCATTGATTTGTTGTGTGGCATTATGGTCGTTGTTCTGTTGTTTTTTGTTGCCAGCTGCGGTGACTATTGAAAGTATATAATTAGTGGACATAGCTTCCAGGTCTGTGACGTGAAGCCAATAAGAAAGTGTCTTAAATATGCATTCCTTCTAATGGCCAGCAGGAGGCACTCCATGGGCTACAAAAAAGTCTGAACTGAAACTTATGGAATTTATCAGAGGTCCTGATGCTGTACATATATGCTAGGACAGCCTGCTGTTGGCCCTAAGTCAAGGGAACAAAGTAGAGTTGCAGAAGCACATGAAGCCATTGCTTTTTGCATCCAGTAACATACCTTTTAAACCAGTTTTTGTCTGGTTTAAACATCTTTCACAACAGCCATTTTGACATGAAATAGTAGGGTAAACACAGGTTTTACCAATGATACTGAATAAAGTTCTGTTCCGGTCAAACAGAGTCAGGGTGCTGCTATTATGTATGTTGGCTCACTTGAAAGGCTCTACGCTAAGCGTAACGGAACCTTAATTAGAGTCATTAGTAACACGTGTTTACAGAAAAACTGTATTGAAGCAGATGTCGAGCTCTAAATGAATAAACTCTAGCTTCATTTCAAAGAGGTAATAACTGAGGTTACTTTCCCACATCATCCCTGTTCCATAGCTCTCTCACAGTCAAACAGCAAGCTAACAAGCTAGCTAGCTAACATATTTACTCGCATAGTAAACATCATGCATAGTGCAAGAGAGTAGCACACACCAAGCGACACCATAGGAAAACAATGGTTTTGCAGCAATGCTTCTCTGCGCGATCGGCCCCTTTGGTGATTACAAATAAGGCTTACTGTGTGCACAGTAAGTAGTAGTTGTTATCTTTTAACAGTTTGTGGGTTTGTTTGTTTGTTTGTTTGTTTATTAAGATCCACATATAACAGTCGCTATTCTTCCTGGGGTCCACACAGTTTATATGGTGACAATTCTATACAAATATACAAACTCACATTATTCATCACAATACACTGACACAACACATTGTAACTCATACTGTAGATAAGAAACTAACAATTCACGCACTCTACAGAAAAATACAAAAACAAAAAAAAAAAAAAAAACTGGCTCCGATTGAATGTATCATAAATTAACAAAAATATCCTCATGATCTAACAGATAAGTATTAACATTTCCCATCCTTCAAGATTCCTTCTCTCATCAAATAGAAAAAGAGATATTTTACAAATACAGGTCCCAAATGAAACCTGTGCTTTGGACTGTAATTTAAGAGTGTGTTGGTACTAATGCAGGTATCCAGAAGGATGAGGTAATCAAAGAAGCAACAAGGCTATCAAATGCTCCTTAAGACTCCTGTGTTGTCACCTAATACCAGATGAAGAACAAACAGCACAGCTTTTTTGTTCTCCTGTCTGCAGGGGTTGCGTGGGTTACAATAAGACAGCCTCGTGGATAGGAAACCCTGTATCCTTAATCACCAGTTATTACTACTGAGCTTCCTCCTAATGATGAGTGATGTAATGGTAAATAAAAGGTGTGTTATATATCTCCTCTTCATGTGGTTGACACAAAGCTGACAACTGCCCAAATAATGAAGAATCTTAACATAACAAATAGTTGTTTGCGGATATATTATATTATGGATATATTATGTTTAAATCTCATATATGTATAACATTTAACTGACTAGTAAAGCTGTGTAAAATTAAAGCTGCAATAAGTCATTTTGGGAATGAGACTCAACAATCAACTATCTTTCCTGGCTCTGATTGGTTCATTCAGGCCTGATGGAGTCTTACAAATGCCATTAGGAGCCCTAGAAGGAACATTTTAGCAGTAATGACAAAAAGTAATGTTTTAACTACTGCTTTAAAAAAAAAACAATTTAAGTGACTGAAATAACAAGTTTAGGGGTACCCAGATAGCTCACCTGGTAGAACTGGCACACCATGTACAGAGGCTGAGTCTGTGCTGTAGTGGCCATAGGTTCAAATGGCCTTTTTCTGCGTGTCATCCGTCCTCTCTCACAGCTGTATGAAATGAACAGTTACATAAGTGACAAATGGAGTACTGACATTGTCCAGAGCTACAAATGCTTGGGAACTGTGCTTGAGAGTGAAAATACAGATGTCATTGTGAAAAAGACTCCCATTTGGAGTATATCAGGTAGTATTGACAACTTTTATTATTCTTTAAACGTCCAATATGTCTCACATCAAATCAATAACAAAAAACAAAGTTTGATGAAGTTGTGAAGTAGCATGGGATCATGGGAGTTGTTGTCTTCACCACCATTGCCGTCATTGCAGTCAGCTTCTCCTGGTTAGGATTCCTTCAGTGTTCATGGTTCAGGAGGTTTCTACTGGAAGCTGAATAGACCTTTTTCACAGGAGCCATTTTGACATTAAATAGTAGAGTAAACACAGGTGTTACCAATGGTACTAATTAAAGTTATGTTCCATTCAGATCAAACAGTCAGAGTGCTGGTGTTGTACATTTTAGCTCACATGAAAGGCTCTGCTACACAAAATGGAATAGAACTTTATTTGCACTATTGTTGGAAACATTTGGGATAATGTAAGTACACTTAACTTCATATAGAACATAGGTCTAGTGTTTCGGCATGCAAGTTTTCTTTTTGTGCCAACACTTCAAAACAGAACCCCAAACTGGTTGAAATGAGGCTATTTATTCTGCTTTCATTCTCTTTGGGTTTCTCCATCCATTACTTCACTGAGCTGCTTTAACAGCAGTATAATTGGATGTCGCAGAGAGGGAAGGCATGTGATCCCTGTGCGGCTGTGGAACACACAGCGTCTTTGTCTGGTGAGGGTTTTCTGAGTGCTGTGGCTATGAGGGCATCCTTCACTAACATCCTGCCTGAAAGAGAAACAGGTGTGTCTGCAGCAGAGAGATTAAACTCTCTTTGACTATTTGAGGCTATTGAGTGCAGAGCACACATGCAGACAGACACCCAGCAGCAGGCACCTTTCACAGCTTCAGGCCTCAGGACACTCAACAAAATGGACCTTTGTATGAATCTATTTTGGTCTTTTTACTTAGCATGTTTGCAGAAGATGAATTTCTGCAGCTTTTGATGTGGCTTCCACCCTCTCTTTGATGTATACAACCCAAAAAAATTCCTCCTCATATGATTCATAATATAGGAAAGAGGAAGATTAACACTTAACGTAGAGGGGCTTCGTGAGCTATAGTGTGGCTGTGACCTAGCAGTCACACAATATTTTCTCATTGTAAATTGCTGCTTGTTCTGGTCTGGATTGTTACCACATGGCTTCCTGACACCCACATGTGATTGTTGGATTCTAAGAATCGCAGTGCTCTATTAATGTAAGACACTGGGGTTCGGCAGGATGTGGAATCTGTTCAGAAAAAGTATTGTAAGCCCTTTGCTTAAGGGGAGCATCAATAGAGGTGTAATTATAGGGGAAGTTTCACGGCTGTGAAATGAGCAAAGAAATGAATGTGCTGCAAATTGGCAGCCGCTCTCATGTTGACTGAGTAAGCAACACATTATAGCTGCTGGAGGGTCACACAGTTCAGGGCTCCTTGACAGAGGCAGTGCCACTCCATTTTTTACCCACATTAGGCCAGACTCAGTGATTAATACCTCTGACCACCCGAACATCTTCTGGGGCTCCAGCCCCTGAATGTTTTCTCAAAAGCCTCAAATCTTTTAGGCTTATAAAATAACTGTGATTTCCCCTCAGTTGCTCCGACTGGACCCGAAAATCAATGGACCAAAAGTTCTATTACTGCAGAAATATCGTCTTTGAAAAAGCTTATACTTAGTTATGCTGCTATAGGCCTAGACTATTGGGGGATTTCCCATGATGCACTGAGCTCCTCTCTTCCTCTCTCTCTCTCTTTCTGCACTCATTCATGTCCCATTAATGCATGTTACTAACTTCACTTCTTCCCCGGAGTTCTTGTGCTTTCTCGTCTCGCAGGTTCTCATGGATCCTGGTGGAGCCTCCTGCCATGGTCCTGCTTGACTCCCACTGCTAATATTACTGATATTACAATTATTAGTCATATTATTATCATCATCAATATTATTTATTATTTATCATCGTTATTCTGGCTTCATCATCATCGTCATCATTTTTCCTTGCCCTTGTCGCCAAGTGCCTACTCATGGTGGTACTGTTGGGTCTCTGTAATTAATGTTAAAGAGTTCGGTCTAGACCTGCTCTATTTGAAAAGTGTCCTGAGATAACTTCTGTTATGAATTGGTGCTATACAAATAAAATTGAATTGAATTGAATCATCCTTATTAGTCATATTTATTGGTCTATTATAGTTGTTATTGTTGCTATTGTTGTTGCTGTGTGTCTGTCTCTCTGTTTCTGTCTTTCTCTCTCTACCTGTGGCCCTTTGCCGCATGTCATTCCCCCTCATTCATCCCCTTTCCTATCCATCTTGAGCTGTCCTTTCAATTAAAGGCAAAGAGCTGGCAGAATAAACAGTGTCAGAGTTGGATACAAAGGATACAATTAGACTTACAAAGACATGAAAGGAATGAGCTGAGGATGGTTTTGCGGGAGGGAAGGGAAATGACATAATGTCTAGAATGGACAGTATATAGTAATATAGACTTTTTTATGTTTATTGTGCATTCATTTAGTTGGGTGAGCCTAAAGAGGTGGTCTCACTCAAAGATGGCATGTGGGAATGAGTGCAGCCAATGCATGTACATAAAGTGTGATAATGGTAATCTTTCGGTTTACTTTCATATGGAAGGATTGTATTTTAATGTAGCTTATGTGTTGGTTCATCTGTGGCTTGTACTACCATCTTATCTTCCTGGAAAGAGGACCACAAGGAAATGTGTTTTTTTGTGTTTTCCTTAATCAAATCAAATCAAACAAATGAAAGCAGTGTTAGCAAGTGAATGTATGTTTGCTTGTAATATGTTAAACCTATAATGTAAATTCAGCCACCATGTTGTGGGGTTAATATATACATTTGAAATGATAAAGTATAAAGAAAAGCATGAAGTCTAGAGTGTTTGGGTAAATGTATTTATTGTCATCTTCAGCAATTAGTTTCTGCTACCAACCACACAAATCCTGAAAAACAGCTGTAATATGCTTTCCCCCCACCTGCTAATCAACATTCCTTTAACTAGACTTTAAGTTGTTCTGATGCCCCTCACTGTACCTGCAGGATATTATTAACAAAGGGACATCAATTCTTTTTCCTCCGCAGGGAACACAAGTTAAACATCCTGTTGTCATCCAGTGCAGGTGATTCTATTCACTGCCTACTTTAGCCCACAGCTTTGAGAGAGGAAAAAATGAACGGATACATGAGACAATACAGCGTCTTAACATGTTGCTGCAGCTGGAACAAGCCCCATTAGCCTTGAGGCGAAGGTATCCCCTTCACAATAAAACAAAGTATGGTGTCTGTTGAAAAGAGAGTTTCTTCACTGACTAATGTCTCTGTTGTGAGGAGGTTCCTGTTTGCCGCGAGCCTGTCTGGAATGCCTGCAGCATTATGTCAGAAACACAGCCTTTAAGAATTTTCATATTTATTTCAAACAATGACAAAAATATAAAAAAAGAACTTCAACTGTTCTGGTACAAAAATAAATTACATACTATTCACTCTGAAAAAACCCATAAAAACTTTACCCACATATTGTACAGTACATTCACACTATAGGCTATCTAAGTATCACTTTATTATATCAATCTAACTTCACATTTGAAACTTTTATGAATCATAGTAACATTATGTTTTACATCTCTTGCATCCAAAGTCTGTAAAGCCTTTGAATTATCTAATGCATTATTGTTTTCTATTATTTTTTACATAAAGATGATTTATGGCAAAACTACCATCTGTGACACAATTAACTATGAACTATCCTGGCATTCTTTCCAGCACAAACCTCCTGTACAGACAATCTGTTGCATGTTGCTCAGAACCAGAGCCTCAGAGCCTCAGCCTATAGAACCCCCATTAACATTACACAATGTATTTGGGCAGTACTTTGTAAGTCCTTGTGTGTTGTGGGAGCTCTCAAGTGACATAATACATCCCCTGGTGGCAATGTTGGAGATCCCAGACTAACAGATGTGCACCTCTGATGGCAGTTTCAGTCCTAAATGTTCCAGAGCTAATAGTTTGAGCGAGGTAGAGCGCAAAATGAAAACAAATCAGCTAACTCGGATGCTATGGACTAGATTGAAAGGTAAATAACCCAGCCCTGTCCTAGAAATTATGTTTATATACAAGTAATTTGCAACAGAAAAGCTGAAAGGAACAACGAATGTGCTCTTGCAGTTTGTGTGTGTCAAGATAAGACAACTTCCTGTTTCATGGCAATATGTCAAAGTTCACTTTGTATGCCCACCACCTGCACCGACAACCTCCCTGGCGGGGTACATAGCTGTAGCTTGTCATTCACTTAAACGTACGTTGCCTGTAAACATAATCCAGCCACCAATTACGTTTGCTACCACAGCTTAATTGGGAAAACAATTTAGTGATATAAATGGAATTTCTAGGGGTCTACAGAAATAATAACAAAATGAATTGTCAGTTCTGGTATCTCTGACCCTCTTTTATTTCCTGCTTTTCAGCCAAGTCCTGGTGGAATGAGAGAGTAGAGTCAGGTCATTCTGGAAATTCAGACTGGCACAAAGTGAGCTGCCAAAGGGAGGATATTTTTTTAAAAACTGGCCAGGCACTAAGCAACGTCGAACTTAAGCAACTTAGTGTAAAGCCTTGTGCTTCATTTGACCATTTAATGTTCAGACATTGTACGGTTGTTTTGTACTTACAGCATATGGTCACGTTTCAAATTTGTACATATGCAAGTTAATAAAAACAGATGTTATTGTAAGAATCTGTAAGTGTGTAATTTCAGTGTAAACCGACAATAAAGTTGTATGGTATGATACAGTTTCATATCGTATCATATTCCAAGTCGTCTGTACTGAATGACATTTCCTGACTGTGGCATATTTTACAAAAATGTTTCTTTAAAATTAACATGATTTGGTTAGTGTCAAAGGAATAGTTCAACATTTTAAGTCCAGACGTATTTAACCTAGCTTAGCATAAAGGCAGTAAGCAAAGGAAAACAGCTAGCCTGGCTCTGTACAAAGTGGAAAATAAAACAGTTGTAAAATTGATTAACATGTTGTATCTTGTTTGTTGGAGTTATGCACTGGAACAACTTCTTGATGAACAATAGCCGAGTACAGTGACTGCATACAGTTTTGTTCAGCAGCACTGATCGTATCTGCTAACCTGCACTATAGTGACTGAGATACTACAGAAGTGCCAGGTGGATAGATAAAGTGTTGTTCATCAAGAAATAGTTCCAACCTGTAACTCCCCCGAAAACCATATTGTAGTTTCTACATTTCTTTTATGGATTAAACAAACGTGTCGTGTTGTATCGTATCGCTTCGTATCGTATCGTATCGTTTCGTTTCGTTTCGTATCGTATCGTATCGTATCGTTTCGTTTCGTATCGTTTCGTATCGTATCGTTTCGTTTCGTTTCGTATTGTATTGTAACGTATCGGAGTGATATCCATCTGAACATTTAAATGTATGAAAGAAAGCAAATAAGCTTATTTCCCAATATCTTGAATTATTCCACTAACTAACTGTACTCGGAGCAACAGAGGAATCTTAAAACAGTTTTCTGTGACACAAAAATGTGAATCTGGAGACAAATCTACGCTACTCACTTTTCTTCTATTTGGTCTGCCTCTTAAATATTTGGTTATTATTTGCACACATAATTCATCCATAGACTTCATGATGAAGGCATTAGTGGCTGTTATGAGTTTTCATTGTAACAGCAGGATTACAGTGGTTTTAGTTGTCAGACTGCCTCCCGGCTCCCTCCTCAGGGAGTTCAGCCTTCCTCTGATTCTTCCTCGGTTTACCACTGTGGACAGGTGTGTCCTTGTGTCCTGAGTCATTCTGCTGTCTGGAGTAGCGCTTGCACTTGCAGGAGGTCACCACAGTTATCTTGTAGGTCCTGGAGCTGCCGTCCTGGCACTGCAGCCGGATCCGCTGGGTCCTGGTCCGGTCAATAACGCAGCGCCACTCCTGGGCATCGCGGCGGCTCCAGTACCTACCAGTGTAACCCCCACCGCCAATCCAGTTGGGCAGCAGGTGGGCCGGCAGACACTCCCCAGCACACACCAGCTCCTTAATGGGGTTGACGCTCGTGCACTGACCATCAGAGATGTACTTTGTGGACCTCAGCTCCCTGCAGCCCACCTGACTCTGATCTGGACCTGAGCAATGGAAATGGAATTACACACACATGCTCAACTTCATTCTGATGTGACATCTGTTTATATGCTACTACAACACAACTTGTTTACTTTCCATTACTTTTGGATTACCTCAATACCAAATATGAAAATAAAGACAAGAGAAAATAAATGTCAATGATATGACTTTTATGTATTCTATAAGACAAATAACCTTAGAAAAGACAATGGAAACCAAGATTTTTAGCCTCAACAATGTGTCCTCTACTTGGGGTATTTTTAAAGAAAAACTGTAAAATCTGTAAAATGATTTAAATTATTCTATATGTTTGCTTTATTTAGATTAGATGTAAATTTGCTCATTATCCATTTAGTTTTGTTAGTTAGTTGCGTAATAATTGGATAGCACAATAGGCAGGTTGTATGTAGGTAGGCCAGTATAGGACCAGCATGCACCTGGGAGGGTCTACAGTATAGAAGCAGGAGCTGTGATTTCTTTGCTCTTTGTTTGCTTGCTTGCCAAGGATAAATAAACCACTACATGGACAATGGGCTTTTTTTGCCTCCCTCTGCTGAATCAGAGACCTTTTCATTTCAGTTTCCTTTCAAGTTTGATTATGAACAATCTAGCCCCTCAGAGCTGAGCTGTTTCAATATTGTGTCACAATATTAATCGGCAATATGCTTGTATGTACCCTGTCATCCCACAACAACACTGCAGAGAACACTGAAGTTATTTACTAAATGAATGTATGGGTAGATGACTTGCTACATTATTTTGTGCCCACCATTAAGTTAACACATTCATTTAGATGACTTGTTAAAAAATTTAAATTAACACATATAATTTGAGCTGTTATGGCCACATTTTAGACTTTTAGACTAGTGATAGTATTGTATTGTACTTGTATTGATGTAATTTTTCACATATTGGAATTCAAGAAATGTTTATTTCTAAAAAAAAAAAAAGAAAAAACGTGACTAAATTTTATTTGAAGCCTTTTGAAAATCCACCTCCAACACCTGCTACCCATCAATACAGAGTAATGTGCTAATAGTTTATAATAAGGGCTACAAATCATATGCTTAAGTAATGCTTCTATGAGAATTCATACTTTGCAGTCATGTGATTACCATGGTTACCTGGCGGGCAAGAAACATATATATTTACATATATCCGTCACCTTACACCGCACAAAAAATGAAAGCCTACAACAGTACGGGTAGCTATCTTTTCTTCAAGAGTGGATGGGTTAACAACGCTGTGGTATGGGAGGTGAAGAACAGGAATATCTTCATAATCAAAGAAAAGGTGAGTGTTACTAGTTAGCTAGCTAATGATACCCGCTAACGTTGCATGTTTGTAGCTATACACAAAGTGACATCTGCTCCGTCGTGTGATGAAGTCTTCATCTGAATATGTACACCCTGCCTGCCGGCTAATGACAGCTTGATAAGTAACGTTGGTTTAAAAAAACCTTATGCCAACTAGACTGTATCATATATGGCTAACAGGATGTCAAACATTGTAGCCTACCTGCTCATCCACTCCACATAGCATCAGACAACAGACAAGAGCAGCTGGAGCAGTGAAATGTCTTTAATCCTGTTAGCAATCTGTTAGGTTGTAACGTTAATGTAGTAGTAATAACTGTACCATAGTATGTATGCAAAGTAACTGTAAGTAAGTAGACACAGTACAACAGTAACGTGTGTACTGTAACATGTATTCTTCTTCTCATCATATCATATCAAATCACGTACATGTATATATATATATATATATATATATATATATATATACTTTTGTATAGTAAAACTGGTGACGTCCTGGTAAGATCCTTTATTAGTTTACTGGGTTTCATTGAACGATGTTCTTGCCCGCCAGCTAGCAGTAGTTGTGACGTTACGTGCAAAGTATGAATTGACCCAATGGTATCTTTAACTCATTACAAATGATTGAAGGTTGAAGGTTGTAACTTATTAATTTTGGGGTGTAACTGTAATACTATTACTGACATTTATTAGTAATTAGTTACACTACTAGTTACCATCGAAAGAAATGTTATTACTAGTAATACCTTACTGCTCGATACTGGTGGTGGTTTCTTTTTTTTTTTTTTTTTTATAATTGTGTTTGTGGAATGTCAGTGTCAGATCATTCTTTTTTTTATTATGAGACAGGGTGAGCGAATGTAAGGTCCTGAAACTGGAACTGGAATCCTGCTGATTTGGTCACATGTCAATTAAAGTGTAAAATGATATCATGAAGTCAGTCATGAAAGGAGTGTTACTAGGAATAATATTACAGTAATAATAATACTTCCCCCAGTAACTAGTAGAGTAACTAATTAATAATGAATTTCAGTAATAATATTACAGTTACCCCTCAGAAATAATTAGTTACAACCTTACTTTTGTTGCCACCCCTCATCTAGTTTGAAATCCAACAATCCAATCCCATCCTTGGATTCGTTTTTGTAATCTGGGAGGAAACTTTGAAGCTAGGAACTCTTACATTGACTAAATGGAAATATCCCATTATTCAAGTCGGATTTTTGGGGAGAAAGGACACAATTACCAATTTTGTGGGGAGTGGCAGAAAAGTAATTACATAAAAAAAATAATAATAATAAATTTGAACTGAGTAAGGAGTTTTTGAGGAATCATGACACAACCTTTATTAATTCATCATGAGTCATGCATTAGTTCAGAATATGATTTGTACCCTCATTATTATGGACGATAGGTACATCAAGCTTTACTGAACAAGAATCAGAAAAAATCACCTCAAACTGACAGAAACGTGCTGTGAATACGTCATGCGGACGGTTTGGACTCACCGTTACGCACAGGGTCAGCCGGCCGTCTCCCGCCGTTCCTCGCCTGGTTCGTGTCTTCGGCAGCCGGCTCGTGCTGGGTGTCGTCGCCCTCCTGAGGATGAACTGACTCGGTGGCGTCGTTGTGAACGGCTGACCGGCTTGTGCTCAGCAGCAGCAGCAGCGCGAGGAGCTGGAGTCCGCTGGCAGGACTAAGCATGACTGCACGCGACTTGATCAGTGATACACACACACACACACACACACACATACACACCTGAGGAATGAGCGACCTGCTGCTGCTGAGCTTTATATAGCCTCCACTGTGAACGCTGTATGAACGCACACCCACTGAACTACAGCCCCCACCGGCTCCACTGACTGCTGCTGACCCGCCACTACATAAGCTTCAAGGTCATTGTGACATTTTGAGTAAATTACAGTATATTAGTCAAACATTTCTCATAAAATGAAGGAACTACTATTGTTGTTCTAATTCATAATAATAATAATAATGATAATAATAATAATAAATAATTATCACTCACTAACTAAATACGTAAAAATAAATGTGTTGAGTAAATTACCCATACAATTATGAAACTCTTGGCTTGCATTACGTTATTCCTTCTGAAGAATATTTACGCCTATTGTTTTGATCACTGAGTCATCATTTCATGAAATAGGCTGGTTTTCTTAGTTTTAGCAACATTTCTGCCACAGAAGATTTCAGCAGGGGTGCATCCACTTTTTAGAAATAGTGAGGTTTCTCAGTGTGTGTGAGAACTATATAAATCTATGCATTTTAATGCCTTTTGAGGGTAACAATAATCACTTAGGAAATAATGTCAGTGCCAACACAGATGAAAATTGTACTGCAGCGTAGCCAGTGTGTAAGCACTACAGGGTGTGAGGTGGCCACTCAGGGACAGATTTTAAAATTGGTTGTTGCTACATCCACTGAAAATGGTGTGTTCATTGCAAGGGGAAAAAAAACCACCAGGAAAATTTTACTTGGAAAATTACAATTTGATTTAATCTTATTTCTTGGCAAAAAAATTACTAACATGTTCCACAGATTCAAAGAAGTCGTATAAAATTGTTTGCAGAGGCCACCACTTTCCATGTCATCTGTTAATTCCTGATAATGGACCCAGCGTCTGGCATTATCCCCTACATGATGCATTCAGTTATTTCCCATTGTGAATATTTTTGCCACTGAATATGTCAGAGCAGAAACTCCTGATTGATTTTGAAATCATATAGGTTAATAGTGAACAAGCAGGGTTAATTGTTGAGGGTTGTTATGTAGGTTACAGCCCCCTCACCTGCAGTTTAAATATTATGACAGGACTGCAGTCGTTACATGTCACATAATGGAACAAGTTGCAGCTCTTCAGCTGCCACACAAACACTTACAGACAGAGAAATGTTTTAAAGTCCTGATTATACACTTACGTAGTGCTGATGTTTTTTATATAACTTTTTTTAAGGAACTAATTACCAAGGTCCCGACCTCTGTGACCTCATAGCTGGCTACGGCCATGCGTGTCAGGTATAAGTAAGGCTTTATTTCAGCGTGTGCATTATAAAAAAAGAAATGCTATGTTGTCAATACAAAGTGCTAATACACTGTGTGTGACAGTTGTGAGCATCCACATATATAAACATGGACAACATAAAGCCAATACATCTTGATTGCTACTCATAAAGCCTGTTGCCTCTATGTTCCAATAATACGGTATAGAGGACACTTCACATTCAGGACCACATTTCTATGACTAGTTTTTCACAACAGCACCATCTAGACAAATACTACTTTCTATAAAAGCTTTCATCGAAATACTACTCTGTCCAAGTACTTATAATACAAAGGGTTGCATGTTAGGCAATTTATCTGATTAGCTCATTATACTCAGGTAAAATAAATATGGAATCACATGCTATGACTTTTCAGTCACTAGTTCTCAACCAGATATTTTATTTTCATATATAAGTAACTCAGTGGACCTTTTATCACCACTTAAATGCATGATTGCAAGTTAAAGATTCTAATATATTGATTTAGATTGACCTTTTAAGTTGCAAAAAATGTTTTATGAGTTGTGTTGATATAATAAGGTCGGTAATTACGTCAACTTAATATTTTGTTTAATTTAAACTAACATTTCTGAGTTAATTGGTTCAAAACCAAAGTCAAGTTGTAATAACTATATCAAATTTGCTTGATAACTTAATTTTTCTCCACCTTGAGTTCAGCATTTCAAGTCCCCTCCCCTACCCACATCACATGCAGACTCTGTGTTAGAGGACCTGTACGCTGAGCGAATATGATATACAAACGACATTTTTGAGGTGAGTATCATTTTATTTATAAATAAATTCTTCCAAGAATTTTCAATTGTGATTTGACCAGCAGTGGATTTGTGACTGAAGGTTACAGTGTTAATACAGTTAATGGTATATGTTGTTCTAATAAACATAGTTAAGGCTACAGTAATCATAATTAGCAGTGCAGTTTAGCCATTCTACCCTTCAGTGCAGCATTGCAGTGGATAAGAATGATAAAGTTTTATTTGGCAAATTGGCTCAGCTTGAGAGAGCTTTTTATATGAGCCATGTAGAGGAATAGCATGATACCTCTTATGTGTTTAGCTGTAAACTACATTGTGTAAAAACAAAACATTAGTGGACACATTTTTAAAAATCATTCCCATAGATAGTCAGGACATGTCATTTAATTCCCACATAAACCAAAACCTCTAGGACTGCCTTCTTTCATTTACGTAATATTACAAAAATTAGACACATCCTATCACAGACAGATGCAGAAAAACTAATCCATGCATTTGTTACTTCAAGGCTGGATTACTGCAACTCTTTATTATCAGGTTGCCCCAATAAGTCCATTAAGACGCTCCAATTAATTCAGAACGCTGCAGCACGAGTACTGACAGGAACTAGAAAAAGAGATCACATCTCTCCTGTACTAGCTTCTCTGCACTGGCTCCCTATAAAATGTAGAATAGAATTTAAAATCCTCCTCCTCACCTATAAAGCTCTTCATGGTCAGGCCCCTTCATATCTTAAAGAGCTCATAGTACCCTATTACCCCTCTAGAACACTACGTTCTCTGAATGCTGGGCTACTTGTGGTTCCTATAGTCTCTAAAAGTAGAACAGGAGCCAGAGCCTTCAGTTACCAAGCTCCTCTCCTGTGGAACCAGCTTCCAGTTGTGGTTCGGGAGGCAGACACCCTCACCACATTTAAGAGTAGGCTTAAGACGTTCCTCTTTGATAAAGCTTATAGTTAGGGCTGGATCAGGTGAGTCCTGAACCATCCCTTAGTTATGCTGCTATAGGCCTAGACTATCGGGGGATTTCCCATGATGCACTGAGCTCCTCTCTTCCTCCTCTCTCTTTCTGCACTCATTCATGTCCCATTAATGCATGTTACTAACTTCACTTCTTCCCGGAGTTCTTGTGCTTTCTCGTCTCGCAGGTTCTCATGGATCTTGGTGGAGCCTCCTGCACACTTTGAGTGGTCGGAAGACTAGAAAGGCGCTATACAAGTACAGGTCCATTTACCGTTTCCTGAACCTTCAATTTTCAAACCCCAGATGAAGCAGGTAATGGCCAATTGAATGGACTCCCTTCTTTACTCAATTGCTTGTCTATCCCTCAAATTCCACCACTTCATTAAAAAAGTATCAACAACATAATCACTAATTAATTATCAGCCCAAACCACACTACAGTTTCATTAAAAACATACAGGTAATTTGTAATTTCACCTGTGTTGATTGTGAAATTGACAGAATACAGGCTGATGAAGGCTGTGTTGCCTAAAACCTAAACAAATAAACAAATAACGTTAATGTTAGGCTAACAGTAGGCTAACGTTAGCTGACATTAATTTCTCTGTCCAGTTCAAGACACCAAGATTGTTTTAAAGCTGACTCTCATTCAGTAACTCTGGTTGTCGTCCGTCTCATCCTTGAGTTGTGTCCTCGAAATCCAGTTCTTGGTCATCCAATCTGGTGGGTGGCAGTGTCACAAAAAACTAGGGTCCTACAAATGTGGTCTGAGGATTGTGGTCCTGATTCCTGAGTGCATATTTAAGTGCAGCCTCTGGTACTGCAGCTACATGCTACTCCAATAAGCAGATGGGACATGGGCCAACCTAAAAAATCTAAGTCAAATAAATTTTTCCCAAAGACATTTTTGGTAATTCTTTTGTCTTTTGTAGGTATTTTGTTGGCCATGACATACCGCCAAGTATTACGATGCGAACAAACCCAATTAAAAGAGAATTGAATTGGTGCTCTTCTATTCTAGTCTAGAGAACCCTTGATGAGTGCCTCTGAGTTGAAACTCAAAAGTTAAAAGCAATATGTGTGAAATTCAGTTTCAAACTATTAGATTCATTTTCAATCTGTGAAATTCAATTTAAAATTTTGCATACAATATTCAGTTGGAATATTTTAAATTAGAAACTATTAAATTCAGTTTAATAGATAATATAAGGTAACTCCATGTTATGGGACAACCATCTCAATAGGGTGCGCTAAAATTAGCCACCAAGCTATAGAGACACATCTTGTCTCCACTAAATCAGTTAAGTAAGTAGTGAGTAGACACTGACAGTTAGGGCTGGATCAGGTGAGTCCTGAACCATCCCTTAGTTATGCTGCTATAGGCCTAGACTATCGGGGGATTTCCCATGGTGCACTGAGCTCCTCTCTTCCTCTCTCTTTCTACACTCATTCATGTCCCATTAATGCATGTTACTAACTTCACTTCTTCCCCGGAGTTCTTGTGCTTTCTCGTCTCGCAGGTTCTTATCGATCCTGGTGGAGCCTCCTGCCATGGTCCTGCTAGATTGCCATTACCAATACTGTTGTTGCTGTGCACCTGTCTGTCTGTCTGTCTGTCTGTCTGTCTGTCTGTCTCTCTCTCTCTCTCTCTCTCTTTCTCACCCCAACTGGTCGAGACAGACGACCACCCACCTAGAGCCGAAGGATCTGTCCTAGGTTTCTGCCTTTTAACAGGCAGTTTTTCCTTGCCCTTGTCGCCAAGGTCTTGCTCATGGTGGTACTGTTGGGTCTCTGTAAATAATGTTATAAGGAGTTCGGTCTAGACCTGCTCTATTTGAAAAGTGTCCTGAGGTAACTTCTGTTATGAATTGGCGCTATACAAATAAAATTGAATTGAATTGAATTGACAGATACTGAAAAGTGACCCTCAGATTGCTAGTTTATTTATAGTGAAGTCAGATTCTCCTAAGAGGCCCAT